AGTAGCAATGGAATCATTTTCTTTTTAACGTTTTTTGGGCCTCTGGAAACCTATACTGCATGAGGTGAATGATGCCGAAATTTATTTACAAACACAGGGATTCAACGTGCATCAGTGTGCCAAAAAATAAGAGCTTTGCAGGCACTGCTCACAGAGAAACGAAATGAATTGGTAGAGAGTGCTTTATGCCAAAAATTTGTGTGAAGACCTTCGCATTTTAATGGAACCGCTCAGACGAATAATGAGGAAGCAAATTTTCGACTACGGAAGTAAAGATGCAGCTTTGTCCCACGAAAACGAGTTGAGAAGTCAATAGGTTTCATCATTGGATAAGGTAACTGCGGTAATTCATGAATTGTTTCAACAGCTATTGAATTTGGTGCTACTTTGGTAGACGGTTGCACGAATTTTGGCGACTTTTCTTTTGGCGAATGACTTATGGTAAACCCTATGACTTATGGTAAACCCATTGATGGATAAGTTATTTATGGTAATCGATACTTTGTTGTAATTTTATTTAAAAAATAACGCGTTTTATTATTCTTACATTCCGTGTTTTAAATATTATTTATGGCTTCTAAACATTAAAATCAATTTAATTTTGCATTTTTTTTGAATAAAATTTTGTTATTTATAATTTTATAAATTTTATGTTGGGGATGATGTAATCAATGGCGGCACCTTACTTAAAAGTAATTGGTTTATTAATATCTATAATTTAAATTTATCTAATGTTTTAAACATTATTTATGGCTGCTAAATAGAAAAATACAATATAATTTTGCATTTTTTTGAAAAGGATTTCATTATGAATGATTATTTAAAATAATTTAACTCTATGTGTGATGTAATCAGCTCCTTGATTGGTTACTGAATATTTGTGCATTCCACTGCGCCATTTTAAAATTTTATTATTCATCTCTTCGAATTCCTCAGATTTCAAATAGAATGGATATGTCCGTTTCGAAGATGAATGTTGTTATTGGTAATTACCAAGAATTATTGGTATCGGAATAAAAAATTTGCCCTTTGAGACCTTATTTTGGCCAACTTGTCTTTGCTAATCAAAGATTTATTTATAAATTGTTAATAGCGTCTTCTTCAGTTAAGTGCGAGAGATGTGGATCACAGATGAAGATCGTTAAAAGACTTTTTTTTTTTTTTTTTTTTTTTTTTTGGGTACTTATCAATATACGACAGGTAAAATACTTTAAAAAAATGCAAGTACATCCCTTTAATTTATAATTGTATACTTCAATTTTAATTAAAAAATTAATACAATGTTTTTAAAAATTCATGAGATATTTACTGTCACATAATGTTTTAATGTTAAATAATAAATCGTATAAACTTATTTAAAGTATTTAAGTAATAGTTTAATTCTTTTAAAAGTTGGTATGATTTTTTTAATTCGATATTTAAGTAATATTTAATCCAATTAAATGTTGGCGCAATGTTTTTATAGCGGTGTTTTTATTCTATTATATGAAAGTAATAATTCAACCTTACTTTAGCATTTTATACTCTAGTAAAGTATTTATTTACATTTGGCCAGCCATCTTAAAAACAACGTTTTCAACAAAAAATTAATCCATTAGGTACTTTCCGTTTTGCCGGCGCAAGCGAAAGTCGCCAATAATGGTACAATTTATGCCAAACGAATATTCTCGCTGGTTAACCTTATTACGCCTCATCAGATAGTTCAGTTTTATGTCTAAGGCCATTTTCGGTAATTAAATCAATTAGGATGCAATCACAGTGCTTACCCGAAGCCGAAAATATAGAAAAGGTAAAGTCAAGGGTTTATCATATCTTTACAAAAGAAGAACATTTTTTATTGATATTTAACAATAAAGAATAAACTTTTTTTTCCCTTTAAATATGAAGGATTATGCTATATAGTTAAATTCATCAATTCTAATGAGAATGCATTAGCGAAGTAAAGCACTGCAGTTTTACATAATTTCTGAGTAAGCTATTCGTACGAATTGAAGTATTTCTTGCATTTAAAACTGTGTTCCAAATTAAGATTAACTTGAAATTAATGTAGATAATTACTGAGAGCATTATATTGTTGTAGAGTAGTTTACGTGCGATGAGATCGCTTGGGGTCACGTGATATGAACCGGCGAACAGGATGTTGAACCATGAAAAGCATGTAAATTCTCAATTAATGTGTTTTTACAATTTATTGTCTTTATTTATTGGCTTTTTTGTAAAATGTTAAGCGATATTAAAATGTTTATGCCTTCAAAAAAAAAAAAATTCTTAGAACTAACATTTTTTTAATATTTTTATGTGTATACTGTATGATGTCGCCAATAAAGTCTGCTTGGCGAGATTTGCGCCGGCGAAACAGAAAAGTACCATCCATTATTTTTAACGATATTTATTTTTTTTTAAAGTTTCGAATACTTTACTATATGCTTAAAATACGTAAAAACAGCATTTTTTAAGATAGCTGACGACTGTAAAAACCGCGCCAACAATTGCGCCAATGTAAATCGCCAAAAATCCGTGCAACCGTCTACCAAAGTAGCACCTTGAATTTGTTGAACAAATTTGCTTTTCTTACACCATCGAAACTACTATGGATGTTGAAGACCAGGATTTCAATATAGAACATGCGTCTCATGATATTGACAAAGAAGAGTTTAAGTTCGAACGCGTGAGGCTAAAGACTTTTGTTGATGCTACGGGCAATAAAAATGAATTAGTGAATTCAAGCCCGCTTGATGTGTTAAAGTTTATTGTGAAATTTAAGCTGGGTTTCCCTGCCTAATATAATAATATTGCTTCGAATATTCTTCACAATTGTTATAAGCAAAGTCAGCTGTGAGAGAAGCTTCTCTAAACTGAAGATAATCATAAATTATTTAGGATCGACAATGAGTACACTGAGATTGATTTATTCTGGCTTTTTTGGCTATTCAGCATGAAATGACTGATTCAATTGATATTGATAGTGCTATTAAAGATGAAGAAAAGTAGAAAACTGAAAATTTAAATTAAGAAAGGAATTTAATTTCTATTTCTAATAGATAACAAAAGAGATAATCAAAAAGAAAATTTATAATTATTTTTACCAATTATTTCCTTTCAAAAGATTAAATAAATTGTTACCTACATTTATTTATATTAAAATATTTTTTTTATTCTGAAAATTGTTAAAAATGATTTCTATAGTGCAACAATCAATTATGTTTTAATTAATATTTATTGACATTTTCAATTAACAATAAATTTTTTCAAAGTAATAATACTTTTTTTTACTTTTTACTCTTCTTTACTTTTTACTTTTCTTTAGTGTTTTTAAATAATAATTAGTTAATGTTAGAATGTAAAACATATTTTCGGAATTAAATTTTGTTTTCGAGTTTGTAAGAGTTTTAAATCTTGGAGAAAATAAAATTCTCTTTGCAGCTTAATATTTTCTTTGCACTAAAAAACATCATCTATATAATAATATCACATTTTGTAGCAGGAAGGAGTGGCAAATTTAATATCCGCCCCGGGCGACAGAAACCTATGCGACGCCACTGCTTTAAATGGTTTCGTTGTTTACACATAGTTTCATGCTGTGTCTATTTTCGCATACTCGCTTGTCAGATAAAAGACTGCTTAAAAAAAAAAAAAAAAAAAAAAAAAAAAAAAAAAAAAAAATATGGCTCCACTTCTTTATTTGGTAGATTAAAGATTGTTAACCGCATATTCATAAAAATAGCAGAAAAACATTTTATTATAAACTAATGCGAATTCAAAACCCTTAACAAAACTAAAATGCCATGCTAATATAAGAACATGTAGCGAGAGCAAAAATATAACATGTAGAACATATAAGAACATGTGGCGAGATTTCGGTGAGGTATTTCGGTTGATTACAGATTCAATTTTGAAGGCCGCTATAACAAGGAAGTACCCTCTTTTTGAACTGCTGTTTTATAGTAAGGCACCTGCATATTTAAAGTAATATATATGCTAAGAATAGTTATTTGTATCACGAAGTTACATGATTATTCGCTGTTAAAATATGAGTGCAATTCTTTAGTAAGCGTATCTATTTCTGGCAATGATTGATCACTACTGCTAAGAATAAAAGAACTTACCACTGTGTTGCTCATTCTGGTAGTATTACATTATATTCACTGTAAGGCGGCTCTTGTGTTGTCATAATATCAGAATTATTTAACGGGGCTGCCTCCATCTGTATCACTCAATATGCAACGTTCAGGTTTTAACTCTCCAAAATATGTTAGAGTCTTAACCTCGTTAGGCTTGGTTTACTTTGAGAGATAAATTCTCAAAACTTTAAAAATATGCAAAATTAAACGAAAATGACATGAAGTGGATAATTTCTTGAAGGGACGCAATTGAAAGTACAGTGAAAACATAGCAACTTCGAAAACGTTATACACAAAAGAAATAGAAAAGAATGTGTGTGAGATGGCTTAAGCCATCTCACACACATTCTTTTGATTCAAATCAAGGAAATCAAAGAATGCTTGTTGTCATGCACATTTTTAATAGAACTTTTGTTTCATTAATATGCAAGTAACATTTGAAAAATCATAGTTTTATTGCAACCGCGTTATTTCAGGAGCTCATGGATTTCAGGACCTAAACCACGTGCCCTGTATGTAGAACTGAGTAATATGGGAAATTACTGAATATTGTTATAAAATAGTGCATAACGCAAATATCCGATAATAGATATCCGATTAAAATAAGAAGTCTTGTTATATAATTTTCTTTACATTTTAAGTCTGAAATTTTACGTAAAAATTTATTGCTTAAATAGGAGAATTAGAAGTAATGAACTTTTTACTGCTGAAAATTGTTTTCAAAATAAGATATGAGATTTCTTTAAGGGACTCAAAATTTTTCATGGATTTGATAAGCAGTTTTGCAACTAAACTTTCCATTACGAATATTAATATTTATTCATTTTCTTTAAAAATAAAGATTGTAGTTTTGTTTAATAATTTATATTTTTTTTCATATTATGTAGGGTTTACTGATCTGAGTTATAGTTAAATGCGAAAAGATAGTTAAAATGTTACCTGCTAAACAAACGAAGAAAAAAGAGAGACGATCGCATAAAAAAAGAAAAGTAAGAAATGAAGTTTTATATTTTTCTTTCTTCAGAGCTAATCCAAGTTTCACACAAATATTTAAAAAATATTTATACATAATTTTAAAAAATCATTTATTTCAAGATAATTGCGGCAAGTGTGTTGCATTTGTTGTTCATATGAAACTGAAACATTTATTTCTTAATTAGTTTGTTTTAATATATGGAAGAAGTTTTTGGATTTATTGCAGTTAGGAAATAAGTAAGTGCTGCATTCAATGCGCTGAATAAAGGATAGTTTTCATTATCAAAACGGTCCATTATTATGGTACTAACGGTACAGCTCAATAATCCAAATCCTTTATAACTAAGTGTTCCATATAGATATTGAGCGTAATGTGTCAGTTCAATAATCCCAAATTCTTCCTAACTAACCGTTCGTTTTAATATAGATATCTAGTGTATTATTAGATTTAATTTGGAATTTGAATTACCTAATTTTAGTTCAAAGTCTTGAACTTCTAATTAATACATTAGTTCCTTAAATTAAAATTTGAAAACATCTGATTTAGATATTGCTATCGAGGCATAAATAATGCTGCAAATACTAGATTAACAAGCATTTATGAAAGGCTGTCGACTGCATTAAAAAATAACAAGTTCTAAATTTACTAAAATCTAAAACAGTTTCTTCAAGTTCATATGTATTATTTTTCCCTTCAGTTTACTGTGCATTGCTGAACTAAATGCATTTTGGCTGGACCATCACAGATTCCATAAATTTGGAGGGAGGATACAGATATGTAATATACAGTTCAGTTGTATTTTATTTTCGTACGAAATTACGGTACTTACGTAATAACGCAACCACCTTGGTGCAGCTTGGCGATTTTTAAAGATTGAAAGGTAAAACTTACTTATCGGGTGCAAGTTGGCGGTTTCGCTGCTTTTCTTAAAACGATTTATAAAGTATTCATATTTATCGTAAGTTAGCAAACATTACCCACATATGAAAAAAAAATATTTTAACAATTTCAAATATAAATTTTAATGGTGCTACTTTGGTAGACGGTTGCACGGATTTTTGGCGATTTACGTTGGCGGAATTGTTGGCGCGATTTTTACAAACGTCAGCCATCTTGAAAAACGCTGTTTTTACGCATAGTAAAGTATTCGAAACTTTAAAAAAAAATAAATATCATTAAAAGTAATGGATTAATTTTTAGTTGAAAATGTCGTTTTTTAAAATGGCAGGCAAATGTAAATAAATACATTTACTATGAGTATAAAATACTAAAGTAAGGTATTATTACTTTCATATAGCAAGAAAGAGAATAAAAACAACACCGCTAGAAAAACATGGGATAAACGTTTAATTAGATTAAAATATTACTGAAATTGACTATCGAATTAAACCATCATACCAAACCATTTAAAAGAATTAGAAATATTATTAAATTCAAATGCTTTAAAAATACGTTATATAGAATATAATTAACATTAAACATATGGAAAATAATTATCTCAGCAATTTTCTGAAAATAGAGTATTATTTTTTAACAAAAATTGAAGTATACAATTATAAAATAAAAGAAAAATATGTACTTACATTTTTTTGAGTATTTAACCTGTTGTTTATGGATAAGTACCACAAAAAAAATCAGAATCATAATTTAGATAACATCTTTGAAGGAATTCGAGGATTTTACCATTCGAAGATATGAATTAAATTTTAAAACGACGCGGAAATGCACAAATTGTCAGTAACCAATCAGGGAGCTGATTACAGCTCGTTAATGCACAAATATTCTATAACCAATCAGAGAGCTTATTACATCACGGCTAGAACTAAAATTATTTAAAAATTCATACATAATAAAATCATTTTTTTAAAAATGCAAAATTAAATTGTATTTTAATATTTAACAGCCATAAATAATGTTTTAAAACATAGATTAAATTTATACAACATTAAAACGAATTACTTTTAAAGTGAGGTGACGCCATTGATTACATCATCCACAACATAAAATTTCATAAAATATGATAAACAATAAAATTTTATTTCAAATAAAAATGCAAAATTAAATTGATTTTTAATATTTAAAAGCCATAAATAATATTTAAACACGGAGGAACTTATGCACAATAAAACGTATTACTTTTTAAATAAAATGACAACAAAGTATCGGTTACCATAAATAACTTATCCAGAAATGGGTTTACTATATGATGTATTACTCGCCAAAGGAAAATCGCCAAAAAATCGCCAAAATCCGTGCAACCGTCTACCAAAGTAGCACCATTTTAATTATTAAATGAGCTTATATAATGCATTAAAAATAAAACACATTCCTCGCCAAAGTTTTCTTTAATTTTTCTGCTCTGTTCTTCCCTTCATTCACACAGCGATCTATTTTCACTTAAAAAAATAAATAAATAAAATAAATCCTCTGAAAATTGCATAGACTTGGCATCGTTCAAAACTCAGCAACACTACTGGCTATCTATTAAAGCCATCTCAATGTTGTTCTTTAGCGCTTTTGTGGCAAAATTCTTTATTCCTGCAGAAATTTTACCCCAGTTTCTTCCATTCCCAGCTAATTTCACAAGTATATACCTATATTTTAAAATTACGTTTCAGACAAAACATCACGATTTGTCTATAAAAATAGTTGGATTCGAATACAACATAAAGAATTATTTATGAAAATGGCGACATTGCTTGACTGAAGAATTTCTGTGAGCATGGTTGTTCGAAGAATTGTTATGTGCACGATTGCCTCAGTTTGGCATATTTTAAACAATTGATGATTTCTACTAAGGTGATTGAAATAATACAGAAGTATTGAAATTGTTAGTCATAAAATGGAAAGACATTGCAATAAATGAATTTTAATATTCCTTTCCATCAAAGGTAATTAGTTTGAAAATTTCACTTTAGTCGATCTAAGGTGTAGTAATTATTTGCGAGGGATAATGAAAAATTAATTTAAATCATATGTTGTTTGCTTATTGATGGAAGAAAAATGTTACGTTAGCTATTTTTATCTTTTCAGACAGATTTAGAAATTTTAGCTGGTGATTAACATTTCAAATCATAACATAGAAAATTCTGCATTCACAAAACTGGAAAAAATATAAAAAGTTCCATATAATTATAAAAGAATTTAGAAATTTTATTTATTTATTTCATACCAAATGAAATACATTTCTTAACAGTAGACAGTACAGGTTTTTTTTAATAATATATTGGGTGTATAACTATGATACCGCCCTTTTTTGACTAAATAAAAGACATGTATTTGCTTTCAAAATGAATCAAACATTAAGTATTTTCCATCAGAAGATGCTACATTCGGTTATCTGCCAGGCAACAAATGCATTCCGTAAAGGAAGAAATCTGTTTCTTTTGAAACAATCCATTCATAAAATCAATTTTTTGATGTCCTCATATGAGATGAACCTCTTTTCTACAAGGCTACTCTACATGAATAGAAACAAATGCTAATCTGATCTGGTGATTTTGGCGGACAGGGTAATGCGAAATGCTTTCAAAGGTTTCTTGAGTAGTCTTTTGGATATTTTCGTTTTCATTCAAAGTTTCACTCAAATTGTAGTTTGTTACATTCAACACTGATTGTCTGAATGGGTTGGGTTGCAACAGCGGCAATCTTTTAGCAGTGTTTCACGCTCTTTGTCATGTGTATCAAAATAATTATTTTGAAACTTTTCATTCTAATTTGTATTCAATAGCGCATATTTATCGTAAATTCATAGCAGCAAACTATATTTTTCTGCTTCAGTTTTCTTTGTGGTAAAATAATAAAGTAAAACTTCTCGCAAAAGCTTTTTCTTTTTTTGGCAGAAAAATTCAGCATTACAAATAATTACTGTTTACAGCTTGACGGAGGTAAAATACTAATTATTTGAGGTTTTTGTGAAATTTTTCAGAGCCAAGTGTTCTTGGATTCAGTCGGGTGCAAGTAATACGTACTAACAAAGTGTTAAAAAAGGACAGAATCTTATTTTTGTACCTCCAATAAGTTTATTTTCTTTTAAGTCCAATTCCTAGTTGATCCAAGAGTTTTGAATACTTTGAGGAAAACTCTAAAAGAATAAGTCAAATTAATAATTATGAAAATGCGACAGATAAATTATTGGTTGTTATTAGTAATTTAAGGGATATGCCTTTATTGCTTCCCTTTGTAGCCTTTCGTATATTTATTGCCCAGAATTCAATTATTCTACTTCGCTAAATTAATGAACATTTTGTCGCAAATTGCTTCAATGTTATTGGACTGTAGGATTGTACTTCATTATTTTATTCTCACAAGAACACATACTTAAAACCTATATCTTTCTTCATCAGATCTTACAAGCAGCATCTTTCTCCATGAAGGAAGAAGAGTGATTCTTTTCATTTTATTTTCATTTTCAACATTGAATCTTTATAGGCTTTTGCTACTGAAGCCACATATGTCAACTTCATTACAAACAACCCCCAAGCATACGTTATCATATGCATATGTATTTCTCTTAGAATTCTACTATAAATATCTCTTCTGTTTTAGTAATCTTTTTCTTAGCTGACAACAGAATCATTTTAAATGATGACTATTACTCTTCACTCAAACAGTATCATAAAAACTTCAGCAGAAATCCTGAAGCTATTATAAGGCATACTCTTATTTATAGTTCTTTTTGTTTTGAAAAATGTGAATGTCTCTCTGTACATCTCGATTCTGGATTGGTATCAGATCGTGAGATTAGTGTAATATTCGATGGCTTACCACTAGCAAAGGACTCAACAGTTTGATGTACTTTTAAGAGCTAACAAGAAGGGGAATTCCTATCAGTTCATAATCATTCTGTTTGCTAGAATGTTCTTCTGCTTTTTCTCTGTATGGGGCACTTTCGAACTGACTCTGGTCTTTTACATGTACAAAACTGAGATAAAAGATAAATTTTAAATGTTTTGATTCTATTTCTTTTATTATAATCAAGGTGAAAATAAGCATACTGTAATAAGAAATCACATGAAAGTTATCAATGATTCTAGAACTCGCTTTGTATAGGAATATTTGCGTGCAATTTTTTTCTGTCTTTCAAATAAATAAATAAAAAAAAAATAAATAAATAAAAAGAGTCCATTGGTAGCTTGGAAACAGTAGAAAAAGTAGAAGTAGGCTGGAATCACTGGAACGAACTAATTGGATTAATTTAAAAAGTTTTTGCAACCATATGTACTGGAACAAAGAAAACAGAATATTTTTGTAAAGATACCGCTAATGCAAAATTGTAAATTACTTATACAATTTTCCTTAAAAAAACCTTAAATTTTTTCAGATCTGGAAAAAAAAAAAAAGGTACTATAAAATATAAGTTTGACTTTTCAAACAAGAATTTCTGTCAACTTTAACAACTGAGCTAATGTTCATAGTTTTCCCAAGAGATTTATTGTTTCATTAATTTTTTTTTTCTAGATTCGCAAAGTACCTAGATTCTCAAAGGAAGTAAGTTTTCGTTTCTTCTTTACATTTCTAAGTTTAGATACAGTAAGAATCAAATTTATATTTGGTTGATATTTAGGCAAATATATTTCCAGAAAAAATACAGTATTTTCTCATTAGCAATACCACCTCAATGAAAGATTTTGCGGCAAACTGCAGAACATCGGTAAATTCTTTTATCAATTAAAAAAAAAAAACATTGAATGAAGTTTTGAAAATCGTATGTTAAAAGAATTATTACAGGCTACTTTTTTTTAAAGCATTTTAGGGACTTTTCGAGGTGATGTTATAAAGGGAAAGTACCGAATATCGTACTTGATATTATAGATATATAAACTACGCATTAACTGATCTCTTTATTTACATCACTGATTAAGAAGGAAACGTACGGAAAGCCGTAAGCTAAAATAAGTCGTCAGTTTATTACTAGCATTACTTAAAGTAAACTGAGGCACGAACGAAAAGAAATTTAAGAAGTTTATAAGCTTCCGAATGTTTTAAAATATTTAAATATATATTTTAAGTTTCAATTTTAGTTTTATAATTTGTAGTAATTGCTTTTAGCTCTTTTCAACTTTATGTGGCTTAGAAAACGTAAACATGTCCGGAAAAGAGATAAATTTAATGAGACTTTCAATAAGTTTGTAAAGAGTTTTGAATTAGATTAAAACCGTTTGAAGTCTCAGTGAATTTGTTAGAACGAAACATGTTTACATTGTCTAGTAGATCAACTTGGTTTGAGGCTTCAAAACACTTTTTCCTTGATAAGTTCTGTTTGAAGCTTTAAACAAATGAGATTAACAACTCGGTTTTTTCCATTTTTCTTGTTGCTAAACATTTTTTTTAGTTCATAAATTGTACTATTCTTAAGTATTTCATTTTTTTCTTAAGTATTTCATTTTTACAAATTTTTACAAATGTTGCTGGAAAAATGATAGGTTACCTTCAAGTATTTGAACGGGTTTTTCTAGGTTATAAATACCTTACCTATTTAAGTTAATTTTATAATTTTATACATATATTTATTATATAATATTTTAAATACATATTAAATATATATACGACTACATATTATGAATCTAACGCTTCTAGCAAAAACCTTTATTCTACGAAATGTAAATACTATGTTAATTAGTTACAAGCAAGCCTTACCTGCTGTGGATGTGACAAAATTAGAATAGAAGAGCTTAATTTATATATCTCTCGCTTGTAGGTTTAGGTTTATTTAATTATGGCAAAGCACACTAGGGCTATCTGCCTAAGGGAAGGGATGCCTTCTTGGAAGACTTTCTAAGGGAAACTGGCTCTTATACACATTACACATCTCTCGCTTATAGTAAAAAACAAGAAAGAGTTTTACTTTTTAAACTGATGAAAGATTAAAAAAAGTAATAAAACTTATTCGTACGAAAACATTTTAGGAAGTGTCATAAAATAGAGAAAAAAAACTTCCGAACTATGGATAGGTTATTGATAATGGTTAAAAAATCAAACTTTTTAAATTTTGCAATTGAAATAAATTAAAGTCAATTTAGTTATTAGAAAAATTCACTTTGTTGTAAAAATTAAATCACGAGTATGAAAAAAGTGTATGTCTTTTTGATTAAAACTGCTTACTAAAATCCGTGTTGGAAAATTTCTAGATAATTAAATTGAACATAAAAAGGGAATTTTAGTACAGATTTTAAATCATTATGCTTCGCCTTAAAAACTGATCTTTTGTTTTTATGAAATACTTATAAATGTTTGTTATAAAACTGCAAACTGATAATGGTTCTAATCTTGTATTTTATAATCTGTTACTCATTCTTATTTTACGTAGTGTCTTGATCGCATACTAAATCTAATTATTTTTAAATCCAGTGACTTTGCTAGTTCAGGCATTTGTCAGGAATGGCCAAATCCCCTGTATCATCTCTGAGAACGCTGCCAAAATATTTTAAGAAATAATACAATACACTTTTGTGCACCGGTGGATAATTGCTAAGGACGGATCATAAACTGCTATTAGTACATAAAAAAGTAAGTGTGGTTGGATGTCAAGTGAAATAAAATAATGCCAGAATGCTAGACTGTAACAATAAAGGTAATTTCTTGTGCGCTAAATTCTAGAAGGTTTGAAAAGTGCTCAAGGGCCAAAATGGTCATTATGTGCTGAATACGTGAAAAAGGAAAAAAATGCAATTACTGTCCGTAGGCATTCTAGCGTAAGGTTTGGTTTGGTTTATTTAATTATGGCAAAGCACACTAGGGCTATCTGCCTAAGGGGAGGGATGCCTTCGTGGAGGAATTTCTAAAGGGAACTGGCGTATACACATACACACGAGGGAAACCACGAAAACGCCCATGCAGCCAGCCCGTTCGCGGGATTCGAACCTCGGACCGAACTACCAGTATTCAGCGACTTTACTGCTCGGCCGCTGGTGGGCTCCATTCTAGCGTAAGACGTAGGATATGGCTGTCATGGAGGGCGATGAAAGATTGCACACGTTGAGTGTTGCTTTCCATAATATTATCTAGCAGTTGCTGGAGTAATTTATCCCGTAGCTCTGTCAGTGAACGGATGACGGTGTCCTTGTTTATTGGAGGATATTTTCGACCAGCAAGACTTCTCCCCAAAGCATCCCAAACATTTTCATTGGGATTCAGATGTGAAGAACATGCTGTCCATACGAGCCGTGGAATATCCTACTTCTCTAGACACATCAGGACAGAGACTGTTCGATGACACGTTGCGTTGTCATCCTTGAAAACAAATTTATCACCGACAGCACCTACGAGAGTCGAAAGCAAGTTGTGGAAACCAATTCACTATCCAGAAACGAGCCCAGGACGGTTATTCTACGCTACGAGAGTCGAAAGCAAGTTGTGGGCCGCCAGATGTCGCTGCTAGTAAAAAACAGGTCTGCCCGACATCCTATATTCTCTGAGTACGGAAGTTGTCGAAAGCGCGTGAAAAAGTGTTGCCGCGTCGTCAATCAGGGTTGTGCAGTTGACGTACTAAAGTAGACAATGGTTTTGTATGTGTTTTCGCTGCTGATTTTTTCATATTTAAACGAAGAATACGTCTGAATCGGTTGCGAATTTATAGAAAATATAGTGATGCTTTTGCTCTGCCAAAACATGTTTTCATTGCGTATTTCAGATTGCCAAAATTTATAGTTATTTTAATTTGCGATGAACTGAGAGAGTATTTGAAGCCACATTCAGAAAACAAGAACGCAATTTCTACTGAAAGAAAGGTTATACTATTCCTCAAATTATAGATATAAATTGTAATTGTATGCTTTAAAAATGTAGAAGATAATAAGTTTATCAAGCGCATAAACCTTCTTCATTTAATACAAATATAGACCTCCGATAAGCTTCTACTCGATTACAGCAAGAATTACGTTTACTTTAAAATCTAACAGTTGAATGAATACCTTACCAATAATACTGTGAACACAAAAAGGAATGTCGTTCATTATTACGCGAAATTCACACTACTGTAAAATAAAAATTAAAAAAAATTATAAAACTATAAAATAGCTTTATAATATCTTTTTCATTAGCTGTACTACTACTAGTGTGATACTTTTAAAAATAAGTTTTAGGTCATAGGGGCTATTAATTTCGTTTTGCCATTTTGTGGCGTTTCACTTTTCAAATCGTTGCCACCAAGTATTATCGCACTCTATTATATTCAAAGAAATTAAATAATGAGGAATCTGCAGAATGTATGAATGTTTCTCGTACTGTGATAAAACAACGGTACCTAGAGCCATGAAATTCTGAATAACGTAATCCTCCATCCTAATATAGGCATCTGGAGGCCCAAATTTGGAACTGAGAATTTGTTTTATTATCTATTTCATATTTTGTAAAGCATTTATGAGTTTTTGATTAAGAAACCCAACGATTTCAAAGCGAGCAATGGCAACATTGTACCGAAAAAAACATTTTCATCACTAGCTAGCGCGGGAGATTATGTATCGGAAATTCTTAAGATATGCTTTTTTTAAAATTATATGATATTGCTGTTGAATTGAATTTGATGGTTTAAGTGCGAAAAAACATGATATTTAATAAATAAATTATAACACACAAAACGTTAAAAAAATGGTCCTTTGGAGTAATATAAATCTGAAGGCTTTCAGATTTTTTTCATTTATTTATTTATTTATTTATTTTATTATTATGGTGTGTGTGTGTGTGTGTAATTTTATTGCGTTTTAAAACTGGTTTCTAAGTGAGGACTTTCTAAGGGAAACTGGCTCGTATAAAAGTTACACATGTGGAAAGCCACGAAAACGCCGGCCAGCTCGTTCCCGGGATTCAAACCTCGGACCAAACTACCTGCGTTCAGCGACTCTACCGCTCGGCGGCTGGTGGGCTTGTTAGCAGAATTATACTGCATTATTATTGTATTATGCTATAAGACTGAGGGTTTGTTCATGGAATAGTACTTTTGTAATCTATTATAGTATTAAAAAATCATTATTTCTTTGCAAATTAAAAAAAAGTACTGTTCATAGCATTCTAATTTTTATATTGTAAAAGAGATATTGATTATTATTAGTTTTCTATTTAAAATGTGTCGAAACGCTGGTTTGACAAGGACTTCAACTGCAGGAGACCTACACTGATTATTTTTACTTTAGTACTTGCACTGTGAAAATATTACTATATTTAATTATTTTCACAGAATAAAATCTTTTGAGAAGGAAGAATATTTAAACTGAGCATTTCTTATATGTATAAAAAATTCAAATAATAGCAATGTAATATTAAAAAAAAGGTATTAGTAATTGTGTGACAAAAATTGCAAAACGAATTAATCGCACATACAGGATATATTAGTTTAATTTTGGTTATATATTTTATATTGAAAAAAATTTTCTTATTTTTTAAGTTATCATGTTAATTATAGAATAAATTATTTAAAATAAAGCATTTTGATGCGTGTGTGATAGTTGAATGCAGCAGCAATCGGCCATACTGTAATAGCGAATGAATTTTATTTCTTTTCTGAAAGAAAAAATTTTCATAGAAAAAGAAAATAAAAAAAAAGGAAGAAATATTAAGAAAGAAATATTTTCTTTCTAATTTCTTATTTAAAGAAATATTTTTCCAATAGTAACTGTAAAATAAATTGCGGGAAACAGTTTTAATGTAAGCATGGAAAAAAAAAAAAAAAAAAATCTTAGTTTGCTATTAGATTGTAATGCAAATTAATCATATTATAAATTTAAATGATTAAAATTGTTTATTTCTAAAAGGATTTGAAGTAAGCTTAATTCACTTCCTTTTATCTATTTACCATTGCTTTCGTGGTAGCCCATATCACTCTTTATTTCTTAGCTCTAAATTTCTGCGTTAAGTTTTCCCTTAAAAAAAGGAATTTTCCTTCACATAACGCAGCAGATACTGTTTTGTGCTATTTTTTTCGAACTACAAATGCAGCGTGTGAGTTAGTGAAATAATAGGAGAATATTCCTAGAATTTCAGCGAGCGCGCGCTATAAATTTCGTCACTCGGTCTGTACTGCGATTGGTCTAAAGCTCCTTGAAGCCTTGTTCCCTTTCAGTAAAGTTAAATGGACCCACCCGCCCACCAACTGAGGACCACAGAATGGCTTTCTCCGATAAGTTGTGATGGCTGTCGATACCGGTTTTTTTGAGTCAATATTGTTCGCTCAAGTTGTAGACAGATCCAGTGATCATAGAATAGGCGTCCTGCAAAGTTGCTGATATTTAACACTGATGGGCCATTTGCAAAAGAAAGAAAAAGTTGTAGTCATTAAAAATTTTTGATGCTGGAGACGTGAAAAATTAGCTCTGTTATTCGAACCTGGACCTCTCGAATACGAGCCCAGTGTTTTGTACATGAAGGCATGCTCGAAAGGAGGGAGAAAATACCTTATATACTCCCCCTTTTAAAGAACGACTGGGAAGTAGGGAATCTATTCGCCAAATCCTGGTGGTGACAAATTATTACCCATCACCTTTTAGTTCGGGCGCCACTGTAGACATTAGGGTATTTTGAAGCAGGAGATGTAAAAAATAAGCAATGCTCTCTCCGGGACTCGAACCTAGGCCTCTCGAACACGCACCAAGTATGGTACCCTTACACGACGAAGGCATGCTGGAAGGAAGGAGAAAATACATTAAAAAGTGTTTAGTCTCCTTTGATAATTTGAAAATTTCATATGCAAAATTTAAAAGTTTTACATGCAGTTCTGAAAGTTCACAAGTTGGATTCTTTTTAAAAATTTCACATTTCTGTCGCTTTTACGAACGAATTTGAAGTTCGAAACTGATGCTGTGGTTTTACGAAATATTTGAAGTTTAAAAAATTTCTCCAAATTCAATGTTCAGCCCGAAATTTGGAATGAATGAATAAGAATGAAATTTACAAGATGAGCATGGAGAAGTTACGTAACTGTTATGCCGACGAGAGGATCAAAATACATATTTTCTTCTATTTTATAAAGTAGAAAAAGTGGCACACTAATATGAAAAAAGTGCTATCTACAAATTTAAAGTTTAGGTAACTTTAATATAGTATCTGATGCCTTTAAGGATAGGAGTAGAATGGCAAACTTAACATTAAAGTAGCTGGATGAAATTTACATTTCAACGTAGAGTGGCTGTTTTTAGCATGTTCCACGATTTTTCTATTAAAACTGGGTTAAGAGCGATGTTGAATTATCAATGCAGACTATTCAAAAACTTAAGTATAAAGGAACACTGCTAGTCATTCAAGTACACAATTGGAAATGTGTCAAAGGACAATTCCACACTCGCACAATAAAAAAACTGTTAGAAAGATCGCACTACAGAAATGTTATTGCTGATTATTATTGCGCATCGCAATAATAACGGGAAACTATATCAGGCAGAAACTGATTTCAAATGTAAGGTTTTTCTTCGGTTTGAGGGATTCGGATTCCGACTTGACAAATCTTTCATCAGCTGTTCGAACTTGACGACCAATTTCTTCCATTGTTTCTGTTTCTAAATCAAACTTGTCGAAAACTGCGATTTCATAAACTATTCAAATAAGACAAAATAACTATAGAAAGTGCAAAAATCCTCCTCATTTACCTTCAGGGGGGGGGGAAACCCTAACTAATTAAAGCAAGGATGTGTATTATTTGTAAGAGGTAAAATAATCGACATATTTTATTATGCTTTACTAATAAAAATGACATCTATTCTCAATCTTTTGAAGAAAGTTTTAGATTATGGGTTCCATTATTAGATTCTAATCCATTAGAAGTCATATAAAAATTATTGACGGTGGAGACACAGAAGTATTTAATTTTTTTAAAGATTTTTTTTTATATAATTTATATGCATGTAACATTTTGTAATCTATATTTTATTGCTATAATATTTATTTTTTTTTTTTAAAAAATTAGACACCAAGAGTTTTTTTTTAATGGAAGTATACTGTGCTCTGGTTTTGGTATTTATGTACTGAAAAATTTTTAAAAAATATTCACTATTTTAATTTAATTCTGTTATGACTATGATTTTTTTAATAAAGTACTTCTTTATTTTTTAAACATTTTATACCTTATTATTAATTTTCTGAAAATTTTGGCCGATTATGTATAAGCATTTGAGAATTAACGGAAGCTGATGGATGTCGCAAAATTTTCGTCTGATCAAAATTTTATAATTGAATGCTGTATTCAGGTGATATACCTATAACGAAACATGCTCTATGGAGAGACTGACGATGTAACTGCACACAGAAGTGTTTGGCAAGCACGAAGACAATCAGTGCTAATGATTACCGTATGCGGCCGAAAACTATCTGGCTGAAATGTAAACCAGGGGTTTTCTAGAGGAAGGCTAACACAACAGGGTGCAGAGCTGTGAATGAACAGCCGGTACTGTATGGTATCAAGGGTAACAAATTAAAGGGATCCGACTATTAAATGAAATGGCATCTCAGCCATTTCATCATCAACTCTTTGTGGTCAGGCTGTACAACAGATCAGAATTCAACCGCTGGTCTTGGATGTCTCCAGACATGTGTTCTGTGGTTATTGCGGTTCAATTCGAAGCGGGACTCTGAAGGCTATTCTACTCCAGTCAATAAGATTCCAGATTGAATGAGCCCGGTTCGTTGCAGACACACTTGTTTGTGCATGCAGGTGAAGAACAGGCATAAACCTAGTTCTCCAATTCGCCTATGAATGGTGTTTGCAGCCAGAGATAGCCCGATTACACGTCGGATCGTTGATAATGACGAATCAAATACTGCGCAATTTACTTTGATGATCCCTCTGTCCTTACGTCCTATCGTCTCCTTAGAACAAATGCTGCCTTTATGAGAGTGTGCTTTGCCATAATTTAATCACCCACTTTCAACATCGTTAAATAGAGGTATTGCTCCGACTCGTATGTTCAGTCTATTTGATCTTCTATTCTATCTTTGTTTCTTTTAGGCCTATTAGACATCATCTCTCAACTGATGACATATGCTCATATTATTCGCGAACCCGGCGCCCACCAGCGGTTGCGCGCTAAACTTGTTGAACTGGTAGTTCCGATTCCAAGCCATCGGACTGGCTGCATGGTCGTTTTCGTGAATGTCCCCATGTGTAACGTGTACGATCCAGTTCCCCCTTAGAAAATCCTGCACAAAGGCATCTCTCTCCTTACGCAGATAAACCTCGGGTGCTTATGCTTCTTACGCAGATAGAGATAATTCAATAAAAAAAAAAAAAAAAAATCTAGTTTTTAATACAGTGGAAGGGAGTAGACAGAATCATATTATAGTTGCCTTAGAATTAGCATATCTCTTCTTTTTTTATACCACTTGTATGTTCAATCACTAATATCCATTTACGCAGTTTCTGAAATTTTTATATGCGCGACTTTTTTGATCACCCTGCATAACTTCTAAAACAGAATTACTATTTGCACCAACATCCCGTTTGGGTTTAAATTTCCATAATACGCTTTCTCTGTAAACCTCGTTTTTTGTTTGATGCTAAATTCTAACAGAGTGGATACTCAAAAAGCTATTATTTTGTTTGCAAAGACAATTAGAGTTAAAAAAAAAATCGGATAAAAAAAGGAAAAAGTACACTTGTTTCAAAATACATGCCAAAATGAATTAAAGGCAATATTTAGTAATTGGTTTCCACATGCGTGATCAAGAGATTGATACGTCAATATGGCTTCGAGATGTGTTTCTACATCTCGAAGAGATAAATTATTTCCCGGAACCAGTTATCAATATCTGATACATTTTCTTGATTTCACCGCTAAAACGAAATTAAGTAAGGTTACATCACGAATTTTTATGAGATTGCAACTTAATAAATTCCATATAAACGAATCTAACAACGTTAAAATGTTTGGTGCTGTTCAAGTTTGTGTTCCTCCATGATCAGTCCAGCAAATCCGAATATCACCAAAATAATCAATTATTTTTGAAACACTCTGTATTTCTAGCATTTACAAAGTAATTTCCGCTTCTAGGAATTAGATGAAGAAATTGATATATTTTTAACTACCTACAATCCATACGTATCTGAAAATTGCGCCGAATTTGACAGAAAAGTAAGTTAAACATTTTATTTTTACGTAAAACCAATAATTAAATAACAATTTATGTGTTCAATAGGCTCTTAAAAACTAGCTAATTCCAGCTAAATAAATGTGTATTTAAAGGGCTTTTAAGAAGAATGCCAAAGCAAAGTAATAATTTCTTCTGAAGCAATCTAAGTTCTATAAAGTATCTGAAGTAATCTATATTCTTCTGAAGCTTTGTTCAAAACTTATGCCCTGATAATTTGTGCTATTTAAATATAAGCAATATATTTATTTTATTGTAATTAATGATGACGAAAAAAAAGTCTCCATTCTGCAATGATAAATTAACCTTACCCGGTCTTTATTTACCGCAAACTTTAGTCGTAGAAATATACTTCAACTAATGAAAATGTTTTAAATGACGTGAAGATGTTTTTTACTTTTAAATGGAAAAAAAAAAATGCATAAAATACGAAATTCAATTTTTTATACGCTGCCTCGGTCCTTATACTTAGGAGAATGTTATACTCATTAAAAAAATAAAGAATAGAAATATTCACTCCCATACTATAAAAATTGAACGAGATACTTAATTTCCAAATTTGCGATTTTTGACATCATTTCCAACTTGCCCTGTGGGAGGTCAGTTAATAAATAATTCTGAATAAGTCGAGGTTAATTTTCGTCCATTTTAATGCTATTCAGTGATAATCTTTCGTGATTTAATAGGGTGTAATGCTGTTTAATTTATAATTTTGTTTTTACTGGTATGCCAAAGTAATTTTCATACAAATAACTTGTAAGTTTTGAAACGTTAGACATGTTATTATAGAATAATTATCTAAAAAATATACAAAAAATTAATTAAGTATAAATATTTTGTAGAGTCATTAAGATTTTTTTTTAAGTAGGAGACGTGAATAATCAGGAATGCCCTCGCCGGGACTCGAACCTGGACCTTTCAAATACGCCCCGAGTGTGCTACCGTTACACCATGAAGGTATGAAGAAAGGAGATAAAAAATACCTTACATACTCTCCCTTTTAAAGGCCAACTATGGATTAGGCGACCCAATCCCCTAATCCTGGTGGTGAAAAATCATCATCCAGCACCTTTTTTACACTCATGCCCATAAATTAAGGATAATGCAAAATCAGGCAAAGGAAGAGTTAGAAGCAAAACAAATTTGACTTATTTGTAAAGCTTATTTATTAAACAAAAGGTAAAGAGCAAAAAAAAGGTGCTATATGTTCGATATTATTAAAAAAAATTAGCGATTTTTTCTCCCTGGAGCAAATTACAAAAAATACCTATTTACAAAAAACCAATATTACATGGTTGGTATGATTATTAATACATTGTATGTCTCCCAGACGATGCAATACAGTCCGTACAACGCCTAGGCATGCTGAGTATCAAATTATCGATCTGATCTTGGGGGATATTACACCACTCAAAAAGCAATGCTCTTTGAAGTTCCGGTAGACATATAGGAGGAGGTTGGCGGGCTGCACCTCGTCGGCCAAGCATGTCTGGCACGTGCTCTACTGGATTCAAGTCCGGTGAGAATGCTGGTCAGTCCATACGGGTGATATCCTCCGATTGAAGGCATTCGCTTAAGATGTTTTCACGGTGAGGAAGGGCGTTGTCATCCATAAACACAAATTGTGCGCCCATGGCGCCCCGAAACAAACGTACATGTTGTTACAGAATGATGTCCCGATAGATTTGGCTTGTTATGGTTCCAATTTGAACATGCAGGTCAATTCTGGAACCCAGAATAATTCCACCCCAAACGAGCACTCCTGCACCACCGTAACGGTGTCGTTCAATGATGTTTTCTTGGTGGTAACGGGTACCTGGAGCTCTCCATATGAAAGTCCGGCGAGAATCAGACTGCAAGGTAAAACTGGACTTGTCGGAAAACATCACACAAGCCCACTGTTGCGGTGTTCACAATGCATGCTCTCTACTCCAGGCTAACCGCAGGCGACAGTGAGTTGCATTACATGGAACGCATCTGACAGGTCTACGAGCATATAGACCAATCTGCCCTAAGCGTCTATACACGGTCTACCTTGAAATTGTCGTACCAGTGGCTTAAGAGAGCTGACGAGACAGGTCTGAGGCTGTGCTCCGCCTGTTTCTTTTGGCAGTAACTGCCAAATACCGGTCCTCATTCGGCGTTGTAACTCTGGGGGCGACCTGTGCTGTAACGTCTACTCACATTACCATCATCTTGGAATCGTTGCAAAAGCCTGGAGATGACACTCTGGGCAATTCCAAGTTCGTCTGATACTTCCAGTTGGGTACGCCCACATTCTAGACGGCCGATAATTCTACCACATAAGAAATCATCCAAATGCGTCCTTTGTGTCATAACTATTCGGTTATTGCACTGAAATGCTTTTAAAGCGCCTGCGAACAATTTTACTTCTTTGCTTGTATTACTTATATATCACTCTCTTACACTCTCGTCATTGTGACGTACCATCGGTGTCATCTGGTTATTTCGTGAAATTTGCATATGATTCTTGAAGATGTGTGTAGTGATTTTACAGATGATATATTTATTTTAGAGTTCGATTTCCGCGTGACTCCGAATTATCCTTAATTTATGGACATGAGTGTAGTTCGAGTGCCACTCTAGATTCATTAGGCTATTTTTGAAGTAGGAGACGTGAAAATGTGCAGTGCCCATCGCCAGGACTCGAACTTGGACTTCTCGAATACGTCCCGAGTGTACTACCGTTACACCACGAAGGGATGCAGAAAGGAGAGAGAAAATGCTTTATATATTCCCCTTTTTTAAGGCAACTGGGGGTTAGTGGACCCAGTCGCCAAATAGTGGTGGTGAAGAATCATCATCCGTCATCTTTTAGTTCGGTCACCACTGCAAGAATCATTAGAGTTTTTTTATGCTTCAGAAGTGAAAAAATGAGCAATGCCCTGGCGGGACTCGAACATAGATCTCTCGAATATGCGCCGAGTAAGCTACCCTTACACCACGAAAGCATGCAGAAAAGAGGGAGAAAATACCTTATATAATTTAAAATTTTTAATTTATGTAAATAAGGTTGACAAATTTATATAATTACGCAATTTAAATTTTTAATTTATGTAAATAAGGTTACAGTACTGCAGCCTGCCAATGTTTTCTAGCAAAAAAATCCCTTGTCTGAAAAAATTATATTCATCAATACTTTTCATGATAAAGTGCATAGAAATATTGGTCGCTTAATCTGTTAAGAAATCTTTTTCCAAACTGATATTTTAGTTTTAGTTGAGTAGAAGTGCAGACACTTTGCTCTTCAGTTTATGTATGACCCCTGATAGGATGCTTAACTTTAAAGTTAAATATCTGGGCCAACTTTTGCCGCACGGGAGTCACTTTTTTATATTCTATTTTTAAAATGAATGGGATATTTTCTTAAATATGAGTATAAGGACTGGAAAAATGCGTAAAATGTTAGATTTCGTTATTTTTACGAAACTAATTTTTAAAATAAAAAATACTAAAACATAAATATTTGTATTAAAATTAAATTTGTATTATCTTTGTATTTATTTCTACAAATGTTGCCAACAGTAACTTTTATTTAAAATGCGTATTATTAACGAAATATTTTCAACATACAGTGAAGTCACATGCAATCGCGTGCTTTATTTAACGTCAGAATATGACCTTATGTAATAATAATATGTTTAGTGTTTGCCAATACGTTTTTACTTCCTTTAAGCATTAGCAAACATTAAACATATTACGTAAAGTAAAGGAAGTATTGTAACCACGAAAAATTCTGGGTACCATATTTCAACGAAAATATTCATTTTGACCCCTATCGAAATTTTTGTACTATAGGAGTGCGAAAACACTCGGGAAAATGAGTGCGATAATTAGAGTTTGCAATTAATATCTTGGTTGATTAAAGTCGTCCAAAAATAAGAATGGTCGAATTGGCTTCCCACGAATTTTCGGTATCAGAAGTACCTCTCTCGATACTCAAGCCCCCGCCATTCAGGAACGAGATGATGTTACAAACAAACATACAGACGAGTACAGATCTTAAATAGTATTGATCTTAAATAATATAGATCGCTTATAATAACAATAATTTATATAAAAATAATGTTTTTGAATGCAAGGAGATTAACTAAAAACCTCAAAAGAATTATTCTGAATTAGTATATTTCGATGTTAACTAAAATATGAAATTTACTTTCCAAAGATGACTTTACTTGAAACTACTTCAGTTCAATCTTAAAAATTTCATTAAAATGCATTTGTCATTTAACACTGACTATGGCTCAAAGACTATGGCTTTAATTTTAATTTTAATTTTTAAAAGTACTGTTATAAAGTTCGGATTTTCCATTACTCTGCTTACTGTAGTTTTATCTATCGAATTTGTGTTCTGCAAAGCTTTGGACCTGAACTTCAATTCATATCTAATTTGTACATTAGGATAATCGTTTTTAATGATGGAAATTGCATTTCGCTTATGTGGGATGTATTTGCAAGTATACAGAAGCATCAGATGTAAAATAGACGAAGATTTCATAGCTAAAATATTTAAGCTTAAATTGTTTTTAAGGAAAGTACGAACGGAGAATAGGAAATGTTGAGCATTAAGAAACTTCGTTACGAGTTTGCACTCGTAACATGAAATAATGGGATTTCAAATTTTATAAAATATGACAATTCTGTTTTGAGTTAAAGTGAGTAATGAAGGAAAAAAAAGCTGTTTTTTAAATATGTAAAATTTTAAATATGATTAGAAGTTAAAATTACTGACATATGGTCCTGAGGAAGAAAATACTTTTATCGAAAGAGAGTGGAAAAAAACAGGACGGCAGACGAAGCGATATTCAGTTTACCTTTAGGAATTAAAAAATATACGAATCGATGAATTATATGATTTTCCGTTTAAAAAATCAGAACTATTGTGATGAGAACGGTGAATGTTTAGAAATATTTCAGAAAATTAGTTAGGCAATTTACAATGAATGTATTAATTCATTGAGTTTATCAGAGAAACTTACATTGCGCAACAGTTCTACATCTCCCGATTGACGGAATTCAAATTGCGTTTTTCATGTCTCCAACATCTTCTATTCATTTTAGAGATAGCCTTGTCTATTTTGATTATATCACAATTTTTAATGTGCTTTGGCAATAGTTCTTTTTATTATCGCATGACTTTTATGAACTACAGTTAGTGATTCCAAAAACCCTACTTAGAACAAGGAAACTTTCCACCTCAAAAATATAAAAAAGTAAAATTAAGAAGTCAAAACACTTTTTTAAGCAGTACTAATATATGGTGATAAGTAATGTCCTAAATGATTTAATTCATATTTACAGACGAAGTCCTACAAGCAAATTTTTGATTTTAGAAAACCGGTAATATATTACAAAAATCAAGGCTCTATTGAAAAACTGATATTAGGTAAGTTAATTAATATCTTTAATAAATTCATTGGCTTACTCAATGGCACTTTTATATCCCGTTTTCCTTTCCGAATTATCCTTGACTTTGGTGATAATTTTCTCAAAAAAGCATTCCCTGACAATGATCTCTGAACTCAGCTTTCATGGTTAAAACTTTTTAATGAATTTTTTTTTGCCGAATTATTTGTTTTCCCGTAATAGAAATTGTGTAATAATATTAAAGGGGGAAGCAATTGTGTTACTAATCGAAGCTTGCACTTCATTTTCGTAGAATTTTATCATATAGAGAAGTGTTTCTTAAATTGTGTTCCACGGAACACTGGGGCTCCATTGAGAGCACACAAGGGATCCGCGAAATTTATGTGCTTTTTTTCATAACATAAAAGAAAACAACTTAATATCTTAAACTATGTTAGTAAAAGTCTATACTAAATTAAAAAAATAGAATAACTAACCCTCGTTTAATCTGGACAGTCGGTGCAAATCCGACAATATGACGGCGCTGTTGGGGTAATTTTTGGTATTTTACATCGGCCGCGCTCGGGAAATGATCCGGAATTTCGCTACTGGAGATACCCAGTCTTATTTCTTTATTGAGCTCTATACATGGAAATCCCTCAGATCTAGAAATACAGGGGAATCAACCAGTTTTAAAAATACATGGAAATCCTGTATACTTGAATATAAAACGGTGCTGCGAGTTAGACGGAATAATAGTCACTTGTCATTGTGTGTCTTGTAAAACACTAATTGATTAGCATTTTTTATTGGTCCATTTTGCCGGCGCAAACGCCTATAATGGTACAATAAAATCGCCTATAATGGTACAACTGATGCCAAACGGAATATCTTCGCTGGTAACCTTTTATCTTCCATTTTCAAAACAAATCGCAGCCATTTCTTATCAGATTGTTTCTTTCAATACTGGCATACAATTACATAGAATGTTTACCTAGATAGTTCAATTTTATGCCCTAAGACCATTCGCGGTAATTAATTAGCATGCAATCACAACACTCACTCGAAAGCGAAAATATAGAAAAAATAAATGTATAGAAAATATAGAAAAATTAAAATCAAGAGAATTCATCAGATCTAATGAGAATGCACTAGCGAAGTAAAGCACTGCGGTTTTACATAATTTGAGTAAGCTATTCGTACGAATTAAAATAATTCTTGCATTTATTTGTATCTTGCATTTACTTGTATTCCATAAGATTTATTTAACTTGAAATTAATGTAGATAATTACTGAGAGAATTAGATTTTTGTAGCGTATTTTACGAGAGATAAGATCACTTGGGGTCACGTGATACGAATCGGCGAATCAGGATGTTGAACCATGGAAGCATAGTAAATTCTTAAATTAATGTCCTTTTACAAATTTATTGTCTTTATTTATTGGCTTTTTACAAAATTTTAAATCATATTAAAATGCTTATGCCTTCAAAAAAAAATTCTTAGAACTAACATTTGTTAACCCTTTTTATGTGCATACTGTATGCTGTCGCCAACAATGTCTGCTTGGCGAGATTTGCCCCGGCGAAACGGAAAAGTACCTTTTTATTATTAATTTTTTGCTTATTCTTAAACTTTATTGGTTATTCTAACATCACACCCCACATACTGTTGCATAATATTATAAGTAAAAAACGCAACATCTCGGAGACCATAATGTAAATTAAATGTAAGGAAATCCAAGCAGGATAACAGAAAAGTATTTTTTTTTTTTTTTTTTGGTGATTACACACACACATATCATGGGTCAACTGCATTGATATCTGTACCGATAGAGCAAAGGCTATTAGTGGTAAAGAGGCCCTATAGCTTATTGAAAATAATCACCGAAACCTAGTAACCACTACATGACACACAGGTAGGCACCTGCTGCAAAAACTTTATAAACCAGTTATAAGATTTATCTCGATGACATGTTCAAAATCATTAACTTCATGAAATCTCGACCACTAAATTATTATTAATTCAAAATACTATTATATCGTTTAAAAGTTGAACCCCGTAACTTTCAAAAAGGCCGTGAGGGCACTTTCATCATTTACAAATACATCAAACGGGTTCTCAGCTGTATGTATCGAAAAAAATAAATACAACAACAGAACTGGTGCCAAATCAGATATGAAAATTCAACTTTTATCCATAAAGCCTAATATTATATATGTCTGTAATAATAAAATGTAGTACCACTCATTAAAATTGAATATGTTATTTTAAGAACTTTTGGTTAAATTTTGAAATTATTTGAAGAAGTAAACAAATATTATTTGAAATAACTGTCATTTTTTTGTAGCAAACAATCCGTTTAGCGTATGTTACAATAGAATCATAGTATTGAAGCAAACTAGGAGTTCCACAATAAAAGTGGACCAGAGTCGTAGCTAGGGTTTTCAGCGCCCAGGGACAACTGAAGATTTCGCACCCCATACTGGTTGCAAGGATGGAAAACATTTAATTCTAAAATGCCGTAACATCGGTTTGGCGCCCCTTGTATTCTGCGCCCGGGGACAGATGCCCCCCTTGCCCCCCTCTAGCTACGCCCCTGAAGTGGACATTGAAAATGTTTCTAACTATCAAAAAAAGTCAAGAAACACTGATAAAGCATATAAGCAACAAATTCTTGATTGAATCACTATTTCGAGTAAGAACAATAAGATCAGGAAAGGGTTTGGTTAATCTGTTTACAACTGAATGAGAAAAACTACAGCATATGAAAATTTATTTGGAAAATTAATAAGCGGAAAGCAATTTACATGGAATAAGGATATTACTGTTCAATATATAGCATGTGTAAGAAGGTTTGCAACTGAAATCCTGGGGAGGGAATTGCTCACCTTTTATGTTTCCTGTTTCGACAAACCTAATGATTCCAAGTGGCACCAAAACTAAAAGGTGGTGGACGGTAATTCGATAATTGGTTGGTGATTAGGTCCTGGCTTCCTCAGTCATCCTTTAAGAGGGGGAGAATGTAATTTTCTCCTCCATCTCTTACCGATTGCCTTCACGGTGTATTTGGAAAGACCTGACTTGTTCTCCATCACCTGACTTGTTCTCGCTTCATCCAATAGTGATTTCAAATTTGGGAACAAAAACTTAAAATTTGCGAATGAGAGACATATCTGAACTGAAACTAAATCCTACTGAACTGAGCTTTCGCAATAAATACGTCACATTCTATCTTTTGATTTAAACCTGCCGACTTGCTTGCTGAATTCTCTTACCGGAACATCTTAAAAATCGTAAAAATTCACTGAAGAACGGACGCGATTAGCGCCAATTTATGAATGATGCATCAAAAATGCATGTCAACAATAAGCATTGTTTTGTCAAAGAAATAAAAGATTTGTTCTACTGGCTATGATAGTAAATCTCCCAGTTTTTCTTCTGAATTGTAACTTAAATATATGTATATGATGTTGTAGTTTTTGCTGATGATGAAAACAATTCATTTTTTAATCATTGCAATATTTTCTTATATATACAGATTAATGGGGATACGACGTCAGTTTAGAATAAGAGAAAGGCAGAGTAGCATAGAGTTGATAGCCTGGTAGGAGCTAGGAAAAGAATGACGTAATCAACTTACGAGCAGTATTGGTACCGAAGTAGATGCAATTGTAGAGACAAGCTATGATTCGTTAATTTTAGTTTTAGTTACTTTTTTACATGCAGTGTTATATAACATGGAAAGATCTCGAATTTGGGAGAACAGATGAATTTAGGAGAAGAGCACCAAATGTAGAATCGTTAATAATTTTGAGGAAGCTATTTATTTTTAAAGCAGCCATTGTATTTTGTTATACATAATAAATACATATATATATTTGCAAATTTTAATAATATTAACATTTGCAAATATAATTTGTTTAATATTAACATTCGTTAATAATATTAAAATTTGCAAACCAAAAATTTTAAGAGGAATAAAGTAATATCATGCCTGTATTATTCTTAACCTATCTTCGTACCTATGCATTATTCTCTGACTTGCGGTCTTGCGAAAATGAAGTCTATCGCTTATCTTTCTTACTTCAAATGTATTATAAAAACATGAAAAGTATAAACGTAATTCTTCAAATACAAGCCCAATACAAATTTGTATTTGCCAAAAGCGTCTTGTCAAGAAAGTAGAAATATTGAACCGCATGGACGTCTTTCTGAAATAGCGACATTATGTTCTACGTCACACACATCTAAATTATCATTATGTATGTTATAATAAATTAGTATAACATTTGCATACTAAAACTGCAACGTCAAAAACAAACGAATGCCAAACGAGAGAGAATTCTACCTAAGTTTCTGATGCAAAAGTCTTAAAAAGATTTTGTGCCTAATGTTGTACTTCTTTTCAGAATGTTACTTTCTTTTATGGTTCTACTGTTAATATTGTATAATAGGTAAGCCTGAAGCTATTTAAAACTTATAAATGAGCCTCATGTAAGTTCTTTATTTCAACAGTTCGATTTAAATATTTGAAAAGACTGCTAACTTTGATTAGTGCTCTATTTGTGTTTTGTTTAATATTCTATTCGAGTTAAGCAAACTCTCTAACTTGTTAAGTAAAGATTTAGTAGTTATTCTAACTTATGATTCTTTAATAAAATTGTGCTAAATAGAGGATAGTGTACTCAAACGCCTTAACTATTTTAAATGCATATCAATACATACATTAATTTAAAAGTGTGTTTTAATGTTATCATGAAATCTTATTTGAAAATTTTCATAGCCTATGGCATTGCCTTTTCGGAGTCAGAAGCGGAAGAAAAAGAAGAAAAAATGAGAAACAAATTCAATTTTCGAAGTGTAGAAACACAGACGGGAAATTCGCGTACATCGGTAAGTTAAAAATTCATATATGATTTTACTGACTATATTATGAACTGTGTTACTGGTTCACACACAAAGCTTGAATATCATAACATAAATTCATATTTCATGCGATTAAAAACATGTTAAACCAGTTCGTTTTTTTAAATTCAAAATTTTACCTCTTACAGGATCAAGGTAGTCAAATATTTTCTTCAGAATTTCCTGTTTTGAAATTTGAAGGAACAGTATCCAGACTTGAAATTATAACAGCTTATAGAGAAAAAAACGTAAGTTCACTCCCCCTTGAACTATACATAAGCATATTGTGTTCGTAAGTGTAAATGAATAAATAATTAATTAATTTCATTCAACGGAAATTCCTCAGTATTTAAAATTCAATTCTTTATTTAGAAGAAATATATAAAAATTTCGTCAGAAATAAAATGGCATTTTTGTTATTGCATTTACATATTTTTTATAAAGAACTACAAATTTTAAGAATCAAGTCATTAATTATAGTTCATTACAAATTCTTGTACATACAAATGAGTCAAACGTGAAAACCGAGGAAATAGCGTAGCACTCTTCAACGACTTGGATTGTACTGTAGGGATATTAGGATTTTTGGAAGCCAGAGAGATGAAAAATTAACAACCGCCTTCGCCAGGAATCGAACCACGGACCTCTGGAATACCGGCCCAACGTGCTACCGTTACACCACGAAGGCACGCTAGGGAAGTGGGAGAAATACCTTATATATTCCCCTTTTTAAAGCGCGACTAGGGTTTTAGGGGATCTAGTCGCCATATCCTGGGTGCGGAGAATCATCATCCACAAACCTTTTAGTTCGGGCACCACTTGTAGGGTCATTAGGATTTTTGGAAGCCAGAGAGATGAAAAATTAACAACCGCCTTCGCCAGGAATCGAACCACGGACCTCTGGAATACCGGCCCAGCGTGCTACCGTTACACCACGAAGGCACGCTAGGGAAGTGGGAGAAATACCTTATAGTACGTACATGGGCGCATCATGATTCGCTGAAATACAGCCCTAGGGAAACTGCGAATGAAAGGCAAGGCCTTAGATTCTAGACAATCCCAGGTTGTAATGTTAGGTATTATGAGTTTTTACGTGCGAATTAGGCGAGATCATGAATCGACGGCAACAGTACTCCAAAACTATGACACTATGTTTTGGGCCAAAATGCACTCTGGAAAGTGGTCCATAGTGCATAGTCGTATAGTGCCTTGCAGCATATATTTGACCATACCTTTGTTTTATGCTGAATCATAACTCGTCAGATAAAATCACTTGCTGCCAATTAGTCTTGCGATGCTGGCCTTCGGGTCTTCCATGCAACTTTGAATTCTGCGGTTGAAAGTTAATAGAATTTTCGGAAGTAAGCTAAGAACTACCAAAACTCGGGCTTAAAAATCTACGTCTCACTGAGATAAGGTATCAGGCATACCTGTTACATAGCTCTACCCTGTACAGTATTTTCTATAGAGATCATAACACAATCAGTTAAAATCTTAACGTAAAGCTGCTTGTCAGTCAGTATTATTGTGATTCCAGAAGGTTCTATTACGAAATGTAAGTGCACTTATACTGAAATTTTGATCTTTAATATATATCTCGACTTAATCCATATAACTTGTAGGTCACAATTTCATGTAATCCGTTCTCCATAAAGCTGCAGATTTCAAAAAGGTAGTTGAAGTTGCTGTGCATGTTTTTACATTGCTGAGAGGAAGTATAACAGTTCACATTTAAATCATGTTTGAAGAGTTACTTTTCATTATTCTACTAGCATCAGCTAGTAGATCTATGATAATGGAAGATCTTGCTGTTTATACTTCAGTTTTCTCTAAGCATATTCGATGAAGTTGAGGTCGGGTTCTTCCGAGACAACTTAAGTCTAGTTTTTCTCCTCAGTAATTTGTTCTTATTAACAATTTGACAGACCAGAATCATTTCATAGCGTCTGACGTTGAGATACCTAAAACCTCAATTTGGTGTCTGTGTATCTCGGTAAACTGCACCGTTTCTGTTCTTCAAGAAGTCATACTTATGGCCAGAAATACATCATGCCTGTAGCTGCCAACTCAAATGCAGCAAGAAGAGTACTACTGAAGTAAGATATTATTCTCAATAACCATATCGAACACTGTAAGAAAGTTAGCTACTTACGTATTATTCAGCTAACACTGTAAGAAATTTAGGTACTAACTCTAATACGTTAGTACATAAATTTTTTAGGCGACAGGGGTTTTTAGGCGACCCCTAAAAACCCCTGTCGCCGTTTAAAAAGAGAAGTATATAAGGTATATCTCCCGCCTTCTTAGCGTGCCTTCGTGGTGTAGTGGTCTGCATGCTGGGCGCGTATTCCAGAGGTCCGTGGTTCGATTTCCGGCGAAGGCGTTGCTCATTTTTCAAGCCTTCTGCTTCCAAAAAAATACCTTATGTCTCTACAAGGTTACTAAAATAAAATATGCTATATCTGGAAAAATAATTGGTTCATTGCAATTAACCACCTTAATAAAAGTTTCCAAATTTTCAGAATGCACTAACTCTACAATTCTTTCTCCCTTAAAGAGCAACATCGTCATTTTCATATGCTTGCCTTTTGTTATATTCCACGTTCTAATGGTTTTTAGAGGCAAAGTAGATATTTTTTAAAATTCAGTTTTAAAAGTTTTAAAATATGCGCTCGTGATATTTGCCTGCAACGGAAGAAACTTTTGTACATTTTCTGCACGAATACAGTAATTTGAAGGCAGATAGCTAAAGGGGAAACTTGCTTTGAATCTAAAACTCAACGCCACAAATGTTCGAGCACAACAACAACAAAAAAAAAAAAAAAAAAAAAAAAAAAAAAAAAAAAAAAAAAAAAAAAAAAAAAAAAAAAAAAAAACTCACTAGTAGGTAGGTTTATTAATTATCGACGTAAACAGCTAATTAAAGCATAAAAACGTTATATTATGTATGTATGCAGTGAATGATGCTTTGAAATTGCAAGTCATTGCCCTTTTCTTTTGTAAAAATTGTCAAACTGCTTCAAGGAGTTGCGCTAATACGTAAAGACTAAAATTTAAGCACAGTTAGTTACCTAACACACTTGTTTAAACTGACAGTTAAGAAACTTTTGTCGACTGATGGTGTTTGTAAATTTTATTCGAGAAAAAAAATTGAAAATTTTACTTTTCTTAATTTTATAAAGTTTGAATAAATCAGAGCATAGAAGCGCAATAAGATTCTCTGCATTGATTTATTTAAAACTTATCAATTTCAGAATTCAGTACATAAGGAGAAGAATGAAATAATCAGGGGATAACGATTTTGCTCCTTTATTGAATTGTATTTTTAATATCTTTTATTCCTTTTTTTCCTTAATTTATGTTTCTCATTACACTTAATAGAAATTTACCTTTTGACATACTTCGAATACTGTAGGTAGATAAAAAAGAAAATTTGGATGACACTCAGCAAAAAAGAGAATGGAGTGAAGAGGAAATGAAAAGTTTTCTCAAGCAGCTTGGGAGGAAGCATGTTTTAGTGAGTTGCACCTTATATATTTTTCAGTGGTTTTTCATGAATCGTTTATTGCTTTACAAATATTTTCTTCTGTTTGGTATAAAAATGGAAATTCCATAACAGTAAAAAGCCTTACTGCATGTGGAAATTAACAAAGATATGCAGAAAGCAAAACGCTTGTAAGTACTTTTCTAAGTTTTGCACGAATGCATATATTTCTCTCTCCTTCTTGTCGTAATAAGACATTGTGTTATTACGACTGTTAAGAACTGTTCAAAATTTATTATGGCTACAAATTCACTACTGGTTTCCGTACACTTCAGTTTCTATTTGAGTAACCATACGATGTAAATTAAAATCTGTGGTACTTTGTGCTATAAACAACAGAGAAGACTTATCAAAAACAAACCTCGGCCAAAAGTAATCATATATTTCGAGGATATTTTGTATTACATGAAATTTAGCTATTATATACTGCATGAATCATCATAAAAAGTTGCAATTTAGACTAAATAATACAAACATTGTTATCATCAATAATTCCTCAAGTAGTGAAAAACAATTTTAATTTTAATTGCTCTAAAAACTTAATTTTATTGATTGCTTATTTGATAGCCGTAAATAAAATCGGCTAATTCTTATAGCTTAGGGTCCGCTAGTAGCCGAGTACATAACATCACTAAACACCGATAGTTCCTTCAAGGTTCAAATTTCCGTGAGTTGATCATCGGGTTATATTCTGCAACGTTTATTACATAAATAATATCAAACCAGTCGTTAAAAAGACATGGCAGAATCTATACTGCATTTTCTTACTCCAAAATTTAGGTTATAAGGTATTTCTCCCGCCTTCTTAGCGTGCCTGCATGGTGTAGTGGGCTGCATGCTGGACCAGAGGTCCATGGTTCGATTCCCGGCGAAGGCGTTGCTCATTTTTCATCTCTCTGGCTTCGAAAAAATTCTAATGTCTCTACAGTGATGCCCGAACTAAAAGGGTGGTGGAAGATGATTCTCCACATCCAGGATTCGGCGACTGGGTCCCCTAAAAACCCCTGTCGCCGTTTAAAAAGAGAAGTATATAAGGTATATCTCCCGCCTTCTTAGCGTGCCTTCGTGTTGTAGTGGTCTGCATGCTGGACGCGTATTCCAGAGGTCCATGGTTTGATTCCCGGCGAAGGCGTTGCTTATTTTTCATGCCTCCTGCTTCCAAAAAAATACCTTATGTCTCTACAAGGTTACTAAAATAAAAATATGCTATATCTGGAAAAATAATTGGTTCATTGCAATTAAATTTGGTACATAGGTGCCCTATGAGACAACCAATTGTAGAACAACAAACAAATTGATGGTAAATGTGTTACAATAAGCAGATGAGACCAAAAGGGATGGAAATATGATACCTCATATTTCCATAATGATCTCTCTATAATAAGTTGTATAGTCACTCCGTTCAGCTTTATGTGCCTTATACTATAAATGCGATTATTGGTTTCAGATTGCTAAAAGATCCTCATATTATAAGTGAGGTTGTCGATTACAGAGATTATAGAAACAAATCCCATTCTTTTAAAAGCGTGAATTTGAATGTCTAAAAGGTTTTGAGTGGGTACTGACGTCATGCACTGTCTTTTCCTAGAGACTTCCAAATATACTACATAGGACTGATGTACAGAGACTTTGTTGACCAGGTCGTAATGCGAATACCATCTTCTTACAGAAAATCCTTGAGCAGTTAAACTCGCTGTCACCTGCCATTATAACCCATAAAAATAAAATCCTCCTCAACAGCTACCCAGAAAAGCCTCACATAAGGTTCAAAAACCTTCTAGGATTTATACTTACTACTCCGTTATCTCAATATTTTAGTTTTTACTGTTCACTTCTATTTTCATCGACTCCCATGAATATGCAAATAAGTTAAAATATATAATAATAGAGTTCTTGAAGTTAAGAGAGAGCTTTTGTCAGCGACCGCAGACCTTCTGCAATCCATTTTCACTTAGATTTACCTAAATCAGGTTTAGCATTTGCTAGCCGTCTTTATTTCGCGTGTTTAGAGGACTTGAGCCAAAGGTTACAAATTAAATCTTACGTCTGTTAAATCCCACAAGAAGCCGTGAACTGTTCTGCTAATTGTATTTAATGATAAATTTTATTATTAACTTAAAAAAATAATGACGAAAAAGTGTGAAAGCATATAAATGAGTAGCGTATAAAAGATGCTTCGTTGTATAACAAATTTCTAATTCTAATTTTCCCCCCTCCCCAGCTACATGAAGGAAACTGCAACTTTCTTAGGTTGTGCGAAAGAATGATAGACCAGAATTCGTCTCAAGCGAATTTAGGTAAGTAAGTCAATAAAATATAAAACAATATATAGAGATTATTGTTTTTGCAACGGTACCTCGCAAATAGCCAACGAATTCTTGCCATTGGTTTATGTAATGTAACAGTTAGCACATCGATCTGGATACAGGTAAATGCCATGTTCAACCTAAGACTATAATACGATTTATTTTCAAGTTCTTCGCACCAGATTCTTTCTTCTGCACAATTTAAAACTTACTTGTAAATTTTAAATTCGTGAGTCAAGCGTTAGAATCTTCCTTTACTGCCAGCAGCGGAATCTCACTGATTCCGGATGAGAGATTTTTCCGGATAATTGTATTTCTCAAAGATGTTCATTTATGTTTTATTATGACATCCGTAGAAATAGACACATGAAAAGTCCATTGGTTGTATTTTTCGATTTATATGTATTAAGATAAATAATCTCAAAACTTTCGCGAATTATTTAAAATTAAAACATAAAGATATAATTTTATATTTTAGAATATATAAACTGAAACACGTTTTAAAATTATTAAATATATTATCAAATTCAAGTTACGAATTTCTTATTGCGATGAGACACAGCTTTGAATGTCTGCTTGTTTACGAGATTATTATTGGAGTTTTTAAAATTAATTGTGTTTACAATGAAGTTTGTCATAACAAACATATACTAACATAGGTGAACACTGCTTGGCAAATCATATGAAAATCTACAGTTCTTGATCACCTTTCTTCTACGTAACTCTCTTATTCTAAATTTCGTCTTCATTTTCACCCTGCCCCTTCTCCTCCTCACCTTTCTCTTTCTCCAGCGTATGCCCTATTATTTCGTCATCATATTGAGAAAGTGTAACGTCAAATTGAGAAACTGAATTGTCCCATCCATCTAAAGTTGCACCTCCTTTTCACTAACATTCATTAATCTTCTCCGAACTTGAAGCTAAATCTAAGATATCAGTGCCAGCCTGTTACACGTGACAAGAATTGCATGTACGCTTACTAACCAGAGACGAAAATGCAGTCATCAGAATGGCACACGTCCTATCCTTGACCAAAGAAATCACCTCATGTTAAATCCGAAACAAAAGTGATGCTCATTGCGTTTTTCGACAACGGAGTGGTGCACCGTGAATTTGTACCAGCTGAAAAAACTGTTAACAGTCTTTTTCCGTGCAAGTTTTGAAAAGACTGAGGGAGGCGATCCGAAGAAAACGTCCTGCCCAATGGCACGGAGGATGGTCACTACATCACGACATTCTTGCTGTCACATATAGATTGTTGTGCAGACATGGCTCGCAGAAAAGAACATACATTCCACCACCAGCCTCTCTTACTCAACAAATTTAACATAATTCGATTTGATTTCGGGCCCTTCTTCAAGATTAAAATGAGCCTCAAAGAAAATCCTTTTGAGATCGTAGAAGACACAAAAACAAACGCGACTGCTGAACTTCGGAAGCTACGACACCAGAACTTTCATCGTTGTTTCTAGCAATGGCAAGAGAAGTGGAGCAAAATGTGTGTTCCGAAGGAGGATCCTGCTTTGATGGCGGATAAGTAAATATGTGCCTGCATTGTAGTAATACAGAGTTGTAGTAATAAAGAGTTATTGTAGTACTAAAGAGTTACGTTTTGACTGCCCCTCGTATGTGGTACGGTACGTCTGCGAATTTCGGACTAATCAAGAAGTAATTATTCACTTTTCTTACCAGAAACTTCTCCTCTGCTTATAAAATATTGGTTTAGTTTACCAGCTACAAGCAGGGTCTCCAATAAATGATATTTGATTTCATATCACACCCTTGAGGAGTTCATTATTTCCAATTCGCAAGTTTGGCGTTTTGGCGGAATAGAAAATATCGCCTCTTGAGAAAAATATTTCTTACAATACCCCTGCGTAAGCGAGTCAATGAAATTAACTTACAACGAAGTCTTGAATAATTGTTTCCTAAATAAATAAGTACACAAATATGTTAATTTATGATATGAAAATGAATAAATGATGAAATAATATTGCAGTAAATTTTTCCTGCCCTTTGTCTTGGCCAGTTTGAATAGATAAGTTTAAATACAAGATTTTAAGCTTAATACCTTCAGGTCTGAGTGACACTAATTCTTGAACTTATAGTAACTATTTAGTTTAAAAGTAAGATTATAGTCATTAACCGCTTGGCTTAAAAGGACTTTAGGCATCAAGTTGAAATTTAAGTACCAAGATCAGATTTCAGTTTCTTCCTATTAATGTAATTTAATATCTTAAAAAGCGTTTTTAGATTTTTAAAACTCTTCAAAGTGTTTGGTATATTTTGAATTTTTCAGGTTAAAATTTAAAAATATTTATGCTGCTGTATTTTGTAATTATTAAAGTAAGAACTGGACTGGAAATTCTCCAATGGATAAGTAGACAGTTAAATGAAAGGTTTAATATAGTATTTCGCAGGGTACATATGTTTACTATTTCTCTTATTTTAAATTTTCAGTATTTATGAATATCTAATCATATGGTTTTTACTTCAATATGTTTTCTCGAAATAACCAGAGCCATTTTTCTTATTATTGTTCATTCTATAATTTTAAATTGGTAACGTACTTTTAGTTTGCTTCTAGTGTTCGTAATAGAAAGAATGTATGAAGGACAAAGTTTCAGAGAGGAAATTTTAACTAAAATTTTATAAATTTCGACAGTCCATATTTCAATTTTCCACCTGTGTAAGAAAATGTAGCATTTATAATACTTTCGAATGCAAGTTTAAATGAAGAAAAAAACGTAAGGTTAATTTCCTAATAAATGTTTGTCCATTTAAACGATCTTTATTTATGTATCTACTATATATATACAGATAGAGAGAGTACATATATTTTTTTGATTCCATAAGTGCGGAACGTATTGAAAAGTAACGCAATCAAAAATTGTTCATCTCTGAATTTACTAAGAAAAGAATATTAGTTTTTCGCAATACTTACCATTATTACCCATAAGAACTCATAATATAATGGAAAACTTATTTATTAGATAGTGAAAAACTTTTTACGAAATCTTAATAACTTCCTTGCAAGTGAAAAAAATTTGCTTAATTTATGCGCATATGAGGTTTTAAAGTAAAAAGCACCAATTCTTCTGTTTTCAGGAAGAAGCTTTAATAAAAAGTGCTTTATTAACCTTTAGAATTCATTTAGAGACAGCGACAATAATATCAAGATATTGTTTTTCTCAAGTTATGCGAAAAATTACCGAACAACATGCATACAGAGTTGTAAAAATTCATAAAGCACAAACTCTTTTCCATTCTAAAATTACAACAATTATAAACAACACTATAGTAGCACTTAAGTCCACACGCTGTTAAAACTGTTAAAGCCCACACACTGTTATGAAGTTTAAAAATTATAAGAATATTAAAGCACCTTTGAATAAATACACTGGTGTGCAAAATTTAAAGATAAGAGGGGTTTTCTAATACAATGTGGTGCAGAAGTATTCTACATCAACTAAAATCATACCATAAGATCCCCAAGATTTGGAAATATGGGACAAGTGGCCAAAACGATCCAAACAAGGAATAAAAAAATACAAAGGCATTTTGTTAAAAGGATAGTTCTAAGCCCAACTGACAAGAAAGACAAGTAACGACCATTAGACAAGCACCTGACAAGAAAAATTCAGTCTTTTGATGGCGATATGATGACCTCTAACTGCGACGCAGAAATTACAACGTCCATCCTGCTGAAGACAAGACTGTCAAAAAGCTGTTGTAGCCTCTCGGACCATTTTTTATGTAGCGTCAATTTCAGCTGCAGAATCGTTGCTGGCGGCTGGTCACGTGCTGCAAAGTGTCTCTCGAGAAAATCTCACACACATTCTATGGGATTTAGGTCCGTAGATTTTGAAGGTCAATCCATCCTTTGAATATATTCACTCTTTAAGAGCTCTGTGACAGTAACCGTCTAAACAGACGAACATGTCTGTTTAGATGTTACAGTCACTGGTTACTCTGTCACTGGTACAGAGTAACCAGTGACTGTACGTCTTTGAGAGATGTGGAGGTCAGTACGGTTACAAGCATGATACCACTCCGAACAAGAACTCCGACACCTTATAAACAGTCCCTTTCTACGATGTTGGAGGGGTGATTTCATATTCCCTTCTCTCACTACATGTGCATTCGTCGAGAATATCTCGCCAGAGACTAAATTGACCCTAATCCGTCACGAGCACTCGACCACGATCATGTCGATCCAGTTTATATGGTCTCGGTACCTAAGAAACTGACTTCTCTGATGAATCTGGATTAATAGCACACACAACATACATACATGTGCATATAGGCACGTTTGTGTATCTTCTAAGTCACGTTAAGAAGTGATATCAGATGGTCAGTAGTCAGATGCATGTGCCTCATGATGTCTCCCGCCTGTCTCTTCTCCCCAGTAGGACAATATACCCGTCTTCCACCGCCTTTGCGGATCGTGAACGACCACTGCTGAACGTTCGAACAGCTGTTTCTGCAGTTTGAAATGCTCTCCAGGTTTACACTGTTGTGAGTGATCCCGAACTCCTTAGCTACACTTGTCACATTTCAACCATCTTCCAACTTCATAATGACGCGACCTCAGATATAGTCATCTTGATAATGTCTCCTGGACTCCCTGTTGACCAAATCATACGGTGGTAGCATCTCGATATCCTTTAAGTTACTTTATAAAGTGCAATAGCTTTCACGGAATAGCTAAGCGTACTCTCGCTTTGTGCGACACGCCTTCCCCTATATATGCACATGCCCTACTGTAGGGTCTTATGACTATCTCTTGATTGGTCTTTCGGTGGGTTCTGTTGCCTTGTTCCGCTTTTATGCTAATTTTTCCGCCTCGTCCTTAATTTTTGCATACCAGTATTAACTCGGGCTGTTTCAAATATTATAAATTCCATGCTTTTGAGTTTTGTAAAACATTCTGATCCTTTTAAAATAAAAGTTAGGCCTCTTGGCTATCAAGCACTTCAAAATTGTTGTAAAATTTAATACATTGTTTCCCAAAATGGGAAAAACGGCCCATAGGAAGGCAATATGAACATTCTGAAGTATAGTCAGAAATGATGCTGCATTCGTCACCTCATCATCGACAGACCTAAAGAATCAGCATCATTTGCTGTACCCCCGACGATAGCCGTGGTTTTATATTCTAATATATATTCTGATCCTCTGATTCTATTTTCATCAAAGGAGGTCAAATTAAAAACAGATTTATATATAGCATGTTACTTTTTTTAAGTACCTACTCACACTGCATTTTACTAGAACTTAGTTGAATATTTTATTCTAAAGGTGCCATTATCAGAATCTCTGAGGCGATGAAGTGGAGCATTAATAGGAAAACGGCTGCAAAACACATTTAATGAGCGAAAATTCAAATATAGTTCCTCAAAAATTTATATTTTTTTGCAAAGCAGTGCTAATATATTGGGAAATTTACATTAACATTGTTTTAAGCATTAAGAGATTTTTGAAGTTGAATTCATCTTTAATATAATCTTACATTATGCGTGATAATTTGTAAAGGTCTGCCTCACTGATGAGGCATATGTAACAGAAATTATGCAAATATCATTGCCGACTTGGTACAGTGCGCCTCGTACAGACAATAAAATTGGGTAATGATTTTGTACTATTGGTTCTATCTGTTGAGGGAGTTACCATGATGTCATGATTGAAGCGTTTTTATGTCCTGTTTATTTCCATCACCAAGAAAGCTGTTCATGCTGAGCAAAAAAGATTACTTACTTACCCAACAGTCGTTTATTTGGAGTCGGATAACATTAAATTAACACAATAATATATTACTGAACTTCGATTCAGGAATGCGATCAGGTAGGTTGTGAGCGGTAGGTAATCAATTATTTGCCTTTTCTACAGTATCTATAGCAGCAAAAGGGGTAAATAAGCAAAGGGCAAAGGGGTTTGTAAGCAAAGGGGTTAGTACATAAAGTAAGAGAAAAGAAAAATTTTTCTTTAGTGTTTTAATATCTTTGTTACTAAATGCTTTGTACTGATGTAAGTTTTCCAAAGTATTAATACCATATCAGAAATAATATTATAACACAAAGAAAAGTTTAATAAATTTAAAATACTAACCGACTACCTTCGCAAAAATTGTGTTATTAGACGCAATACGATATGATAATGCAATACGATATGATAATGTAATATGATATGATAATAAGTAATATGTCTCGAATAATATGGCAGATAATTCCGTGTTTTTCGAGACTTAGGATTCTTTGCTTTTGGAAATAATAAAATTCAAGAATTTAGATTCATATAATGCTAAAATTGTGATTTAAATGTTTCAAGCAGAAACTAGAATTTTTTTGAGGGGATATTTTCAATTGCATGAGGAGTATTCGAGTTCTGGGAATTACGAATACCATTTATTCGAAAGCTGTCGCAATTTATAACAGTGACGTTATTTGCGGTAATGAATCTATAATTACGACTCAAGCTCTATGGTTTTCAAGGGATGTTTGTATGATGCATCAACTCATACAAACATTGAGCTTGAGATTTATAAGATGCTTTAGATGTTCTCAGCGATTTGATTGTGAGTCTTATTTCAAGATTTGATTTTAATTTTTTGATTTTATTAGTAAAATATAATTGGTATATTCGTTTTGAACCGTCCTCTGTTTTATATCTACAAATCTAATTTTATAGATTTCAGGTATTACGATAATCCAAATGACGAATTCTGTCCAGGCTTTGGATCACTTCTTCCTCTTTGGAATTTCTCCTGTCGAGCGGTGAAGGATATGACTGTAACTAGTATAAGTTGGAACAGCTCATATTTAGACCTTTTTGCTGTAGGTTTCAGGAACTATGTAACAGAAACGGACGCAGAAAATGAAGGTATTAGTACACTGCTCTGCTCTTCTTCTTTTTTTTTTTTTTTTTTTTTTCTTTTTCTTTTCTTTTTTTTTTTTTTCTTTGCTGGTCTGCTAAAACGGTGTCGTCTAAAACTGCTAAAACTAAAACTAAATTAAAACTGCTAAAACGTCGCGGAGAAAACAACGCAAGGCGAAAGCGTCCTGGTAGAAAACATCGTGGGAGAAAATAAAGCAAAGAAGAAAACATCGCAGTTCTAAAACATAGCGGTACAAAATACTGTCGTCGAATAAAGCGCTTCAAAAACTCCGCAGTTTAAAAACATCGTCATCGAAAATATCGTGGTAAAAAATAAAGTACCTACAAATCATCGCATGACGATAACATCGTAGACATGTATTTTCAATCTTTAATAACTGTTAATGGATATATTCGCATAATGATTTGTGAGCGCAAAATGGAAAGAAGGACAATTTTTACTTTTATATTTTTTATTAACTAATAAATATTTGCTAAAAATATAAAATGAAAACATAAGCATAGGAAATTAATGCAACTTACAGCCCTTAATAGAATTTTAAACTGACATAGTTAACTAACAAAGGTTATTAATAATTTTTTTATAAATTTCTGGTAATTTTTAATGAAAAGTATGATCTAAAAAAGAATAGAAAAAGAAAGGTAAGCAACTGCATGACCGTATCTATAAAAAAGTAATCATGAGATTATTTTCTTCACTTCTGTTATTCTGATACTCTTATAGTGAAAACTATTTCTTGTTCTGTTTAAATTTCTTGTTCTGTTTTTTGAAAAATTTATTAGTTAATAAAAAATGTGAATGTAAAATCATCCTTCTTTCCATCTTGCGCTCACAAGTCATTATGCGAATATCCATTTACAATTATTAAAGCCTGAAAAATGCACGTCTGCGATGTTATCGTCATGCGATGATTTGTAAGTCAATTTGTAGATAATCAATTTTCCTTATCGGATTGTGTATAGCGAACCAAAGTTTCGAACCCTTGAAATTTGTCATAGCAGAGTTTGATTGCATGTACAGAAAAGAGATTTTTTAGGTTTGTGTCTTATAAGAATTTACGAATGTAAATAATTCTTGTCACCATACTTACGATTTTGTTGTAAACCAATTAGATTAGATAGTGTAATACCCACATAAAGATATGTATACGTGTGTTGTATTGTGATTAATAAGAATAATATGCAGTTTTCTTTCTGGAAATTTATCGGTCAAAAAACAATCGAGAATTAAAACTTTATTTCATCACAGACAGCAAAGTAATGATTTACAAATGGTTAGAACACCTCCGCCGGAGTAGGTCCTTCCCCGTGTTAACCGTACAAGGATGGTTGCCAACATGACGGATGTATTCAGTATCTACTAGTAAACATTACATTGGAAAATTAAAAGATTATTTGAAGTGCAGAGGGTGAGCATATACATACATATCAATATTATATACAAAGTTTGATTATTTAAGACATGAATAACTACTTATAATGTAATCTAGGTATGTACAAAGAAAGTGCTTTTACAATTTTGAATGATACTACATGGTAGTAGTGCATATTATAAGAGGAAAATATATCAGGAGGTATACTATAATAATGTACCTACTAGTCTTATGTACATTTTTGGCGCATTAGTCTGTCTTCTAAGACGAAAGTAAAATTACTGTTCTAGGGTTCGAAAGTTCTATTACTGTTAGCTTATTATAGCACAGTAATTTAATATATGGAACGGTTTTGTGAGAGCAGTAGGATTAGACTTCGTGTTTTCCGCCCATGCTGCCCACGTCGAAGATGCATCGGGAGTGCTCTTTTGTCCACACTGCCACTGATCTGCCGTTTTCTTTCTGAGTTGCTTGAGATAAATGCGACTATTTAATATTACAGTGTAACTATTGAAGATGTTATAAGTTACATGTAAAAAGAATTAGAATGGAAGATTCATTCAAAATAACATTCTTAATGAACCGAATTAATTCAAATGGCAACAAAATATAATATCTGAAATTTCATATTTTATTCTAAAATACAGGAGTAATAAAATTACAATAGAGGTATAACATATATTATGCTTAACGAAAGGTGACTTCATTAAGCCTGGTGAACGGAAAAAATGTAAAAGAAAATATAATCACACTTAAAGAATATATTTAAATCTATTTTTTTCTTAGTATATTAATAAATCCAACAACTAAAAAACGATAACTAATTAAAAAGAATATCAAAGGCTATGAAACGTAATTAAACGGTATAAAACTTACAAAATATTTGCAGTTACGATATTATTACTAATATTGAGGTAGGAAGCTAAAAGAAAGAGTTTTAATTTTAGCAAACTAAGATAATGAGACAAAGCAAATAAAGGTTCGGCTTATCGTCCACAGGCAGTCCAAATGCTGATTCTTTTATTATAAGGTTTGTTGAACTCTAACCATATCTTTTCAGCGTTCTTCTTAAACAATTCTTGCATATTTTTTGATTTCGTAATCCGCTTTACAGTCAAGTTTTGTATCATTGTTGGATTTATTTTGAAACCATTGAAACACTGATAATAAATGTAAATTATCCGATAAAATGAAATAAAAAACTTGTAAGAAACATTTTTTATGTCGCAAGTAACATAAAATTAGGATGGATGTCGTTTATAGGCTACCAAAAAATATTTAAGTCTCCCAATTTCCTTCAGCCATTTTTCTTACTAAGAAAATTTAAACAAAATTGTTCATTCAAATAAATATTCCTTCAAATAAAAATAGCTTGTTTTGTTATAGCACTGAAATGCGAAGTAGTAACGAAATAATAAAGGTGCTGTTTTCAGATGTAAACATGCTCAGTTTTTGGCGACTCTTTCTCTAGCTTGAGCTTTCACAGAACTTAGGAATGAGTTAATTTTATATTTTTTGAACTATTACAGAACATGCCAATGGCCGAGTAAGTATGAGCGCTGATCATTGGTAGTTCGACTTGAGTTTGAATTCTAGCAAATAAACTAACTCAGAAATAGTCAACCTGATCCCCCCTACCGCCAACTAGTAGGCGGTACGACGGGTGGTGGAGGTTTATGTGCGATAATGATCAAGGAAGATCGAAACATACGTGGATGTATAGGTATATACACACCCCTTCGCACAATGTTTAGTTCTCTAGTTGATCGTTCCCCTTCGCACAATGCTCTCCTGTTTCCATATATTTATACGGCTTTCTTGTTTGTTAATGAATTTTCTGTCTATTAAACGTTTAATATCGTAAATTATAATATAAATAGATTTATAACTTTAACGGTACTATTTCGTTTTGAGGATTTTAAAAATTTGCAGCGAAAATATATGCGCCAAAGCGCCAAATCTAGCAAAACGCGCCCATTTAACAAAGATTTCACTGATTTCAGATTGCGTAAGTTTATATAGTTCTATATTTCTTAAGACGCCATTGAAATACTAGTTTAATTTTTAAATCCTTTTTCGATATCCTATGGATTTAAGAATTTGGGAATTGCCCATGATGAAAAGTCTGCAATAGAATTTTGGTTAAAGTGCAGAATCCCCCACTGCTTGACGCGTTTTTAAGAATTGCACATCTCGGTATCCATGTACATCGACCTATTTTCACTAAAAAAATCCCAGAATTGCGCAAAAATTGCCTTGACTTTATCTATGTACACTCGACCTATTTTATTTAAAAGTAAAAGAAAATTGACAAAATCCAATTGTTTTTTACCTTGTAAAAAGCGGCAAACAAATATGGCGATTCTGCCTTTACCGAGAATATTTCAAAGAAAGGCATCATTCATTATAGAAAACTATGTTGAACAACCAACGAGATGAATTATGCTTTAGCAATAATGGGTAGCGAAATAGCGATGCGGGCACCCTTCAGTTATGTTTAGCAATTTTATATAAATTAAATAATGATCTGAAATAGTAATTACTCTTAGCTTCCATTCAGTCATGTTTAGCCTTTTTTTATATAAATTAATAATAAAAAATATTATATGAAATTAACCTTTCATCTAAATGAAAACATCAATCTTAGATAGTTATTTACTATTAAACTTCTTTTCTTCGTTAGGGTTGTCGCAATTGTTTTTGGCAGCACTGGCATCAACAACAGTTTGGCGATTTTTTACAGCCCTCAAAACCGAATAGTACCAATTTTTAACTATATATTTTTTATTAAACCTTCACTTAGAAACTTCTTTGCAGTTGCGTTATATTAAGGTACTGGTTCAAGGAATCACAGTTTTTATTCAATTGAGTAGATTGCATCCCTTGTGTGTCCTTTTATTGCTCTAATGAGTACCGACGCGATATTTATGAACGATAAAGGCTGCTGTATAGAGCTCTAGTGATGCGAAGTTATCTGGAAAACGAAACCAGTCCACATCTGCCGTAGCCTGCTAGATCAGCGAACCTGAATCTCATATAACACGTGTGAGACATGTTGAGACAATGGATGGCAGATCCCAGTATGCCTCCAGGCAGCCTCCATGAGCTCCGACATGCATTACTACAGAACTACTACCCTGAAAAATCATCAGCGACACTATTTCCAGCTTGCCTCGCCGTTGTCAAGCATGCAGTTCAGCTAAAGAATATTATACCCGTTATTAGAGTGATGGTTCCACTGCACATTCTTCCATCCCATTTGGTATTTCAGGATGTGATGGTCGTAATACATGTGTTTTCTTATGTCTTTGCTTTTTTGTTTGCTATGTTGTCTAATAACGCTAATCCACCCTTTCAAGCATATCCATTAAATAATTTTTGTTTTATTCCGTGTTTTGACATTTTTGCTTATTTTTTTAGCAGGAGTGTATTATTTACACACTTTTTTTCACAATAAAGTGTGTTACGTATTTTGTAAATGTTTTTCGAACACTAGATAATTTTTAATAAGAACTTTTTTGCTCTTCCAAATTTCCAACATTTAATATTCTTATTTATTTAAATTTTCCATGAATTAAAGTTTCAAAGTTTTCTTAAAATTATTTAAAATTACATCAGCAGTTTATTCTAGAAAGCAAATTCCGTTTTTACTTCGGATTGTGATGCATATTATATTAACACTACTTAAAGTTTTTATCAATACTTTTCGCCATTAAATGAGTCATATTGTTTATTATTATCATATTAATATTAATATAGCCATTAAATGAGTCATATTATTATTTACACTGCAATTAATTTTCAATTATGAAAACGCAGACTGTTTGCCATGCGTCTTCTCGTAGGAGCAGTTCTATAACTGGATGACTGCTTTATTTAAAATTCAAATCAAATATTTTTATATTTTCTCCTGTAAGTTTATTCATCCAGATATAATGGATCCTCATTTCCCCGAACGCGAGAAATATGAATCTTAAACCGACACATTTTTTTAAGTTTCAATATTGATTGCTTATTTGAGTAAAATGTATCCTGATAAGAAGATTTACCATATATGTGTTCCCATTTAATCATTTGTGAGCATTTCCTTTTGGATTAAACAACTAGCCACTATTTAAAAATAGATAAACAGGTTAAGTTTATGTATATATATATACATATATTTGCATTAAAAACTGTAAGATTATTTACCGATTTCCCAGGGAATCGCCATTAAATAAACTCCCTTACATGTATAAATTTCTACACAATTATGAAGTATTTAATGTTTCCCAAAAATGTAATTTATATCTGAAAATTTATTTTTTAAACTTTGTTCTAAAATTAACTAATAGTAAGCACAGCAAGAAATAATGAGTTACAAAAATTATTTACATATGTATCATTGTAACATTGTTTATCTAGGTATTATTTCAAAAATGTTCGGTTTCATTTATCATGTATTCGGTAAATATGATACTTAGATTGAAAAATAATAAAGATAAAATATCCTCTTTTATTAGTACAATTGAAAGTCATTTCTAACTTTGAATACTTTTTAAAAAGAACGCTTGAGTAAAAGGAAAATGCTACTTTAAGATTCATATTTCTCATACGACGGAAACTGAAGCCTCCTTTTCCCTTGATAGATTTTACAAATTATTACTTTTGGATATCTTTTCTATCAGTTACCCATAAATCCCTCTCAGTCTTATAATTTTTCCCCCTCAGATAACCTTGGTCTCATTCAAGAAGCTGGCTGTTTATGTATATACAGTCTGAAGGGACCATCGTATCCCGAGCGAATCATAGCATGCCCTTGGGGTATTTGCTGCCTCGAATTCCACCCCGAGTGGCCTCATCTTCTGGCTGTTGGATCTGTGGGAGGATCGGTGGCCATCTTCGATTTAAGGAGAAATGAGAACTCACCCGCAGGGTGCAATTTGAAGTTCGAAAAAAATGTGCACCGGGATACTGTGAGTCAGGTAAGTCTGTTAGCCAAAGAGATTCCATTACAGCCTCTCCTGTCGTTCCACTCTACCTCCCTTTTCGAATTGAATATGCCAACATGGACCCTTCCCAATGAAAACTATTATTAGGAGAAGTATTTTGGGGAATAAAATATATGAGAGCTCAGGATTTGCTGTGATTTCTGAAGAGGATAGGACAAAAGAAGGAGTGCTGTGTTTAAAAAAGCGATATAAAAAATTCTTTCGCATGACTTGTTGTATATTGACTAGTTCGTTTCCGACGCTAACGTTATTCAGTGAACAGAAGAGTTCTGAAGCTACAAAATGAAAGAAATTAAAAGTTATTGAATAGCATAGCACGCAGGTTTATCAGTGCAATAAAAAATGCTGGAATTAACAGAACAAAAACTAATTTATATCACTTTGAAACTGATTTCGTCTAAATAAAATAGCCTATTTTAATTACGTTTGGTTTCACAGTTGTAATGAAACTGTAAAAAGAAATGCATAGTTACTAAATGATGAGCTTTTGTCTTGTGCTCTTTTTTCATAAACAGTGCTATTTACCTAACGCATAAAAAGTTCATTTATTAAAAAATAATACATGTTTATACAGAACTCTCGAGAAGCACAGTTGTTAGTAGATTAATCTGAAAACCATGCGTATATATACTAAAGATACGTACTTAAGATACATAGATTTGAAGGTAAAATTTACTACTTACGTACAGGGAATTCGAAAAATATGCCTACTAGCTTTATTTTCTTATTTTTGAGTCTACATAGATATGCATTTCCAACCCTAAATTTTCTAACACTAAGGCAGAGTATTATATGAAAACAGTCTCAGCATTGAAGGAGGGGAGAGTTCCTATAACTATCAAATACTTATGCTACCCTTCTAAAGCGTGATGGCCTGATTAAAGTGCTTATTATCTCTACATATAATAAAAGAAAGAGTCTGTGTGTCTTTCGTTTGTGCTGCGAATAAGCTAATAGACCCAGGGCTACGAAATTTGGTATATAGGTACATCTAGACAAGAGCCACTGCACTTCGAAGCACATTTTTCAAAATTCGAACCAGCTTTTTTTTTTATTTCATCTTTTTGATTTTATCGCTCATTGAATAGTTTTTTCTTTAAATGTGGTTTGGCAACAGCTTTTCATTCAATGTGTACTGTGCTGACGTTGAAAATGAGCACTGTTGCCACTTGGAAAAACAAGGTGGATAATTATGTGCAATTTTTCAATTTAAAGTTTCTCTTGGATACTGGACGTTTGGTCAAGAGAAGGCAACGGGAAGTTGGTTAATTTATTTATTAGGATAATTAATATTTGTATTAAGAAGTGATATTGCTTATTTCATTGTAATTTTGTAATATGTAATAAATATTTTTTTTAATTTATGGTTTTTTTATGAAGTTATTCTGCAGAGTTAAATTTTGATCAATTTTGTTCCCTAAGGCATATTTTCGGTACATTTAAAAGCCAAACGAAGGCTGGCCGAGTCGCTGCTAGTACTAAATAAGTTAGATAAAAAGTCTCTGTCTTTACGTGCAAAATTTGCAGTTACATCGAGAACAGATTTAGGTTAATTTTCTCGGATTATTATTAACTAATTTCGACGGTATGTAGGAAAATGTTAAAAACAATATTGGTTTTGGCATTTAATTGATCTATTATTCGTTACTGTACTCTCAAACAGCACTGTTTATTAATTCTTGCCACAGAACTCATGGTTAACTACACGCCTTTAATTACTAATAACGCAATGAATTTTTCACGTAAATTTAGGAACATTTTGATAATTTACATTTTTGAAGCAAAATGAACATTTTTAAGAAGACTGTCTACTTTATGGAAACCATATAAAAGATTAAATTTTGTTTTACAGAACTTTCCTAACTCCTTTCCAATGCTTAAAAAATTTTCATAAAGGCTTTACCTTATTTTCAAAAATTTTATAATAGATGTTAATTTGCCGCATATTATTTAAGTAAATTTAACTTATGGACACTTTTTGCGAATCGCAAATATATAAGATACATTTTAGTGTTCTAAACACAAACTTTTTCAGCTCTCAAGTTTTGCATAAAAAAATCATTTCTTTCTTTCTTTTTTCTTTTCTTTCTTTTTTTTTTCTGTGCGTGGGGCTCTTTCTTCTTTATATTTTACTAAGATTTAGCTTTTAGAATATTTAGAATCAGATTTGAATTTTCATTATGCAGCTGCAGTTTTGCATCTTTGCTTTCGAAGCTAGTTGCCGGGATCTTCCTTTTAATTTGTAGTACAATTTTAAGTTAAAAGATTTACTTCACATGTTTTTCCTTATATTATTATTAAAATGTTTAGTGAAAGATCAACTTAGATCGAAGAAAAGATTTATCTAACGATTTTTTTTTTAATTTTAAATGTTACGGCGTATTCGTCTAAGAAGATTTTTATTTGCTGTTGGAAGTTTATATGTAATGTACGCTTATATACAATGCAATCTGCTTATTAGCAGAATATATTATACTTGTGGTCAGATAGGGAATCTAAATCTGAAACTTATGTAACTAGGGGTAATGATTAAATTTGGATCAGTCTTCGTCACGAGAAATCCCTTAGTCGCTTTCCTACAGGCGGCAATTATCAGATCTGATAAGATATACATTGTGTTTTATGTGTTGGTATTTGTATTCATTCTCAAAGTGTTTTTGTAGTGGGATAGATCTGATATAAGCCTCCAGGAGATATCTTTGGACAGTTGCCCTACAGGCAATGGCAGTGATTTGATGATGTTGCTGCCATGCATTTAAAGCTTGTATACAGATGGCATTCATTTTCTATCCTCTATATAGCTGGATCAGTATTATCCTGACGTATCAAACTGCTGTGGTTTGAGGACAATCCAAACAGGTTATTTCTATTAACTTCAGTTTTTGCGAACTTTCGCTAGTATGATTTTAAACAGATTCGGAAGATGACTATTTTCCACGTTTTACTAAGCACTTTTTAGAAGCGTAAGATAATTTTTGTCGATCCATATTTGTCGTCACATTAAGAACTTTCGAAAAAAACTTTCTTTGGTTTACTTCAATTTTGGGTAGATTTTCCTTACTAATCCAGAATATCGGTCGAAATTGGTAGACAAATTTTGGAATTCGGTCATTTAGAATTTTTCTGCATAAGTGTTTTACAAATCCCTCTACTGTCCTTCCATTCTGAAATCAGTTTCGAAACAAATACTTTCACTACAGTATTTCAATATGTGTAGAACAATTAATTACGTTAAATTTGTCTCAAATACTACATTTGTATAACTTTGTATTAAATTTAGATTACGATAGACAAAAGAAATTGTTCTGTTTTAATATTAAAAAAAAAACAACTCAGTTTTGCTAATAATTTTTCTCTTTTCCTTAATCCCTCAAATCAACATCCTTACTGCAACCTGCAAGAAAAATGATGCTCTATCTAACAAAGTGGTTAAAGAAGAATCCGAATTTTTTTATTGTATTTTTATTTAGTAAACTTCACAAAATATAAAAATAACTCGATACTGTCTGGTATTTCTTTTTGTAAGTTTCATAAAAAGCGATTACTTGATTTATTATTATTTTGATTATTTTATAAATGAAAATATTTTATAAATGAAAATATTTCTGCACATTTGAGTTAAACTCATAAATTATACCGAAAATAATGTTGTAATATTATGATATAAAATAGCATATATCTGTAACTATAAAATCCACAACGAAGTGAAATGCATTAACCCGTTGTAAGAGCAGAAAGCAAGTTTATTATAAAATGTGCGAGTTCATAAACTGGATAGTATCTTTCTGTTCAAGAATATTTTCTTTTCTTAATTTCGAAGCCATATGAGCTTTTGTTAGTCTAAATTTAAGCAAAAATAAATGATGTACAGGGGCTGTTATAAAATATTTTGAAGCAGGTTTTCTATGGGTTATTAAAACGTGAAAAATTGATTTTTGCCAAGCTAAAACTGGTATTTTGCCATATATGCGGCTCGCACAAGCAAACTCATAACATATCAACCAAGGTCAATGGACAAACAAGGTTAGGCTCTTCCCATCGCTTACGTATAATTATTTACACTTTATCAGTATAACGCTGTTAGAACCTGGGTGCCAAGGTTCGAGTTTCTACTCAAAATCGAACGCATTTAAATTTTCGAATTTAAATGCGTTCGATTAACTTCCTCATAATACAGAAGAAAACAAGGATCAGAAACATATATATATATACAGAGAGAGAGAGAGAGAAAATACACCAAACATATGCTTAAACAACAATTTTGGAACTGAAAAACACGCAGGTCTTTTATTATTGGTTGGGTTGTCGTTTATTATTAAATCATGAGTTGCAGATCTTAACTTCAGAGTTATTAATTTTCGTCTGGTTTTTCAAAGAATTTTCTTGCTATGTGATAATAATGTGTCCTGGGTTCAGAAACTGTTAATTACTCAAGGATTCTATTGTTTCTAATGTACCTGGGGGAATTAGAGATTTGCCTCAGTATATTGTTCTGGTAAATTTGTAGTTTCTTTGAATTGGTTTTGAAGGAACACGCCCAGATTGCGCAACAAAACGTACGGAGAATATTTATATATGAATAACTTATTGTCAATAGCTAGAACTGTTTCGGGCAATTGAAGGTCCCGAAAAAGTTCTAGCTAAGACAGGTGTAATGTGTGGGAGCGATGAGAGAGAATTAGTAAGGGATCTGTTTAGATAGATAAGGGACCTGTTTAGCCCATGGTAGAATGTTTCTATAATGTTGGAGATTTTGTTGATTTTCTTCTTTTTGTAAACAAAATAACCACAATTTTATCTTAATCGTAATCCTCCAGTTCTTTGGCCAGGTCGCAAGTACTTGAATGTGATTTCGTAAATGTTGGGTGATTGCACTTAGAAATGCACTTTGAATAAGGATAGCTGTATCTTCACTGTGGTTCTGGGTATGCACAGAATGTCCTTCACATAAATACTGAATAAATTGGATCCTAATAGAGATCCTTGAGATATGCCGGCCTGAATAACTCGGTGAGTGAAATATGTACCAGAGATATGTACGACAAAGTCTTTACCTCTCAAGTAGGATTTATTAGTGTTTGTGATGTAATCTGGAAAACGCAGATTATGTTTTTTGCATACATGTCTGTCTACCAAAATGCAGTTGTAATCTTTGAAAACATCGAGGAAGAGGCCAACAGAGGGAGTAAAGAAGAATTTACTTTTGAGAAGACTAAAATTCAGTGATGTCATATAGGAACAAACTTTGTGGTATAGTAATAATTTTGATATTAATAACGCTGAATGAGTTAAGTTAAAAGCTGTTGCAACTGTTGCGCTATTAAGCTTGCCGCTTGCTGACCTTTAAACTTCGCTCCGAGAGCTATCGTGTTATATATTGTGTTCTCATGTGTAAAGAAGAATTTTGTTTACCATGGTTCTTTTTTAAAGTTATTTTTAGTTTTCATATTACATGCAAGAGTTGTTATCATATAGCCTAGTTATCTAAGGGGACATCTAGGAACCCGAAGCAAGCGGTAATATTGTTTATTACATCAAATTCGAAAAGCTGCGAGAGCAGTTCAAAATTCTTTTTTTTCTATGTGTTTGTATTTTTGATAGGGGATGTATACATGTGTGTATCAATATATACTTAGTATAATCTACGATTAAATAGAAATAGTTATATTAATATTGTATTTTTTGTGTTAGGTGACATGGCTACCAGATCGCTTACCTCAAAAACTTTGTTCCGTGTCTATGGATGGGCAAATTATTAACTGGCTATTCCTGCTGGTAAGCTACTTGACCATTTACAAAATGTTTATTATTCGTTCTTTTTTCTTCCTGCTTTCTCATTCACACTTATTTTTATGTAATGCGTTAACACTCTGAAAGTACACCAAAACAACAACATTATTCATAACGTATTTTTATTTCTAATTTTAATAAGATAAACTAGGGGCTAACCGAAGTCTTCAGATTTTATAATAACATCTGAAGAGAATATTACATAGCCCAAATCGTTTTATGTTACATTATATTCCTTTCACATCACAGTTTGATTTACAAACATCACAGTCATTATAATTTGTCTGTCTGTAATTATCACACAAATCTTTGTTTTCTGTTTGAACGTGCTCTTCACGGTTCAGAATGACTTGTTTTCGGCTGATGTAGTCACTTATATGAGAATAAAAGACTGGCCTCTGGATGCTCCTCCTAAAGGTATAGAGATGAACATCGAGCCTAAAGAGATACAACTGGAAGACATGGGTTTGAAAAGTAAGTTATGCAATATTAATCCTCATAGGAAAATTTTAGAACAGGCTTCATATTCATAAAAACAGTATTCTGATTTTTTAAACAAATATTCGAATTTCGTCCAATTTTTAAAATTATTCTTAATTAAATGATCTTAGCTTTCCTTATTGTGGTTCTTTGTATGATGCTTGAATCGTGATTCGTTAAAAAATTATTAGACAGTTTCCTTTTTTTTTTTTTTTTTTAATATAAATTTGTTAAATATGTAGTTATAATGGGCTAGGTTTTAGGTTTTAAAGTAACTCAGACATTTATGTGGAAGACAAAAATTAAATTCTGGATAACAAAATCTGATTTGATTAGGTGTGTTAATAACAGTTGATAAATAATAACTACTTATCAGAATTTAGCTTCATTTAGCTTGCGCAATGAAATATAAAGAGAAGATTTAATGGACATTTAAAAATAATAATAATTAGTAATAGATAGTAGAATTTAAGATCATCGACATGATGGTTGCAAAATTTTGCTTATTAAGAGATCACCATTTATTAGTTCAAAGTAGGAGCATTTGATGCATTTAGTAGGATACTCTCAAACTAAATCCTTGCTTTGCTTGTGTTACATAAAAGGTATTCAACAATTATTTTGCAAAGAAAAACTCGTTCTTCATTATTCCTGTAATAAAAAAGAAAAGGGACAAAGAAAGATCCTAATGTTAATCCTAATCCTAAATACTGTGTATAACGCAAAGGAATATCTATAAAAACTAATGATTTTTTTAAAAATTAGATTAATGAAATTTTAATGCACTGCTATGTTTTCCATTTATTATTTTGATAGCCTAATTCAGTTTGATTCAAATTAAACGAGAAACATTTTCTGTATTACATAAAGCTAGTTTCATAACGAAATAGTTGATTATAAACAAGCACTTTCATGTTATCTGCTTTGTTTAAGCATAATTTATCTGCACCGTAGGGATAAATTTCTGAGAACATTTCGCGCATACTCGTTTTACACTTAGAAAAAAATTACGAAGACTCTTTTTATTTATTACATTATTTTTAACTTTATTTTTTAACTGAATTTTGAACATTATTTTTTAACTGAACATGGGATACAATTACCAGCACTCCCTGCCGTTAACCACTAAGTGAATAATTCAAGAAATTGCCTTTAAAGCATTTGCATAATTTTAAATAATGCATAGTTACACTGAAAAATATCACTTATAAATGAATTCTTCAACAGTGTTCAGCCTGTGTCCAAATCTAAATAAAAGTATTTCATACTTTTAAGCGTATCTTTAATTTTACTGATTGCTTGAAGAAGTGACAGCCTTTGTTTTTTTTTAATATTGATTCTAGACGAGTGGCTCCAGTTATGCAATTTCTTAAAATAAGAATTTAAAGAAAATAGTTACAACATTAGGAGTGAAAGACTCCTGTAAATATAAAATAGTATAATTGACATAAAGTCTCCGTCCAGCCAAAATTACACTCAGTGTAATATCACGATAATTAGCATTCTAGAGGGAAATAAAACGCAATGGTCGAAAATTTTGTATTTAATTTGAGAGCTTATATCAGAGAAAAAAAAGGTTAAATACAAAAAAAATTCCACAATTTTACGTGAGAATTCTTGGAGATATTAGACAAGTAAATTATTGACTTGGATGGTTTTTCAGGCTTGTTAAATTTGCCCATTTTTGCTCATGCATAGAGAGTACAAATAAAAGTTTTGCGTTTGGTAAATTTCAGGCAAATTTTTCTACAGCTTGAAGAATTAGGTCAACAATATTGTAGTACACATAACAATAGGAAAAAAAATCTAAGAAATCAAAGAGTTAATTAAAATAAATATGAACAGAGAAAAACCTCAAAAAGGTATACTTGATTAAATAATTTTAATTGTATTCAATCTACAGTTAATGTTATAATCCTGAATTTGAAAAATATTACATTAATTTCAATCCGTTTTATATACCTGCATACACTAGGAATATTATTATACAATGTGGATATAGAATAACTTTCTCTGTTTGAAGTCATCTGGTAGCTAAAACGAATAATCAGAATGAAACCAAATTTCATATACAGACTGTTGATAGCATGGAAAATAAATTCCGAAAAAAATATTTTAGTATTAAAAATAGGCGATAGGAGAGTTTTAAATGCTGTCGGAATCAAAAATGGGTCAATAGTTACAATAAACGCTGAAAATGGATTACGCAGAATTTCATTGATGTTTCACTAATAAAATATACACATACAGAAAGGACAATATACAGTATGAAACTCATAGAAAATAATCTTTTAATAATCAACATTAAGGTAGCCTGGACCACGTGCAACATTTTCGTTGTGTTTACCTTCCCTGTGGACAAGATACTGCATCCAGCATACGACTTTCTCTACTTCTGCGCGTAAACTGTCAGTTTAAATGTTTGCAACAGCCCGCCTTATGCTTTCTTTCATGGAGCTCAGCTTTGTAAATGTTTCCTATTTTGCTCAGGTTTGTAAATGTTTCTCGTAATGTATCTATCGTATCGGTTTAATTTAAAGTAAACCACACTGGAAGGACACTGCCAAACTAAGAGAGCCTTAAAATTTCGCGTCAAGGAACATGAGGCATATGTTAGAAAAAAGGAAACACAGAGGTCTTCTGTTGCCCAACATTTTTGGTCCGGAAATCACACTTCAATTTTCTGCTGCCAAATTATCAAAAACATCTTCCTGGAGACTGATTTCTAGAGCATTTCAGTCAAAAAAATTTTCTGTTTAGTTAACGATCTAATTCCAATCCATCTTTGCCTTCGGCCTTAAAGAAATTTTTTTAGTTTGGTTTCAAAGATGGTGCCACTAGCTTATTTCTGTCCAGGCTTTCTATCTTAGCTATAATTATATCCTATCTCTCGTTCATTTGCGCTTTTGCAGCTGAGGCTGGTGGTTCGGTAAAACCATCGAAACTAGTCCTGCGAAAATTTTAAAATATAACGCTGATTTTTGTTGTTTGACTTCTGACTTATTATACATAACATATTTAAAGTACTTCACAGCCAAAATTCACATGGGGGGATGTTCGAGAAATGAGGCAGCTATTCCGTCGGAAAATATCGACTGATAACCCTTTTATTACTGAAATGCTGGAGTAAAAGATTTTGCACTAAACAAAGAATATGTAGCCGTGCTCCATCTTGTAAATAAATTGTCGAGTCTTAGCTGCAATTCAGGAATGACAAAAGTTTGCAGTGTTGGCCGAGATTTCTCACCAGCATCGGTTACCTGCAGGACTGATATTCCCCAAAAATGGCCCACCAGCGGCCGAGCGGTAACGTCGCTGAACACTGGTAGTTCGGGTTCGATCCGCGTACGGGGCTGCTGCATGGCGTTTTCGTGGTTTTTCGCCTGTGTACGTGTACGAGCCAGTTTCCCCTAGAAAGTCCTCCACGAAAGAATCCCTCCCTTAAGGCAGATAGCCCTCGAGTGCTTTGCCGTTATCTAATAAAACCAAACCAAAACCAACTCCCCCCAAAATTGTGGTCCTACTATGAAATTGGACCTGAATCCACATTACACAATTACTTTTGAAGAATGCAGTGGCACTTGACGGATTCATGTGGACCGTTCAGATGTTTCACTTTAGAAGTATTGACAGAACATTCATACAAAAATAACCCTCATCTTCCTACAATATTTCCCAATACCAAAAACTGTCGATTTAAATTCGAGCAAGAAGCTTTAGCGCGAAAGTCAGGGGCTTATTATAATCTGTCATTCTTAGTTCTTGCACATGACTTCAGTTTCCTCGAATTTTTTAATCATATCTATCAGTGCTACAAGAGACACTGAACGTTTACACTGAGACACTGAACGGCTATGGAGCCTTCTAAATTCTCTAATAGTCACTGCAGCACTAGACTCTCGTGCAGATTTCTAAATTCTTTTGATAAAAGGAGCCCTTTTTAATGTCCACTTTTATAGAGGAATCAGTGTTTGCTTCAGTAGCTTCTTTTTAATGCAACATTCTGTAAAGTATTATTTGCAGCGAAAATGACAGTTATTTCAAATAATGTTTATTTAGTTGAAAAGGTTATTTCAAAATTGATCGAAAAGATCTTAAAATAACTTATTTAATTTTATACTTAATGTTAGACTTTCTCGATGAAAGTTGAATTCTCATGTCAGGTTCGGCATCAGTGTTGTTGCGGTATTTATTTTTTGTCGAAACGTACAGCTAAGAAACCTGTTTCGTGTAGCTGCGAGTAACAAAAGTGCCATCATAGTCTTTTCGACAAATTAGTATATTCAACTTTTAAACTGCACCAAATTTCCACTACCAGAATTGAACCGAATTTCCTTGCAACGACGAACATGGTATCATTTAAATAAAAGCTTCGTATTCTTCTGTTCATATGATTGAAGGTTGTGCATTGACAATAAATGGGTTTTTAATCCACAATTCATTCTGATATTTAATCTGTTATTCATTTAGAATACTGATTAAAAGCTACACTGAAATTTCTTCAATAAATATCTCCCATATTTTCAAGCCCTTCTACTTCTGAAGAGCCTTTTATTGTTGAGCAGCAAGTGGTTGTAGCCCGCACGTACACACACACACGGGGGGAAAAATCAGTCCAAAATTCTATTTTTTACTTGAATGCAAGAATTTTTCATTAGCAATAAATAAATTTATTTGTTTGCCCTGAAGTGTTAACCCTTTAAAGTTTAATGAGATATTCATTGATCTTTGTAAAAATGTCGCTTAAGTAGGCAATTTGAATCAGCCAGTTTCTGTCAAATAATCGACTTTCCAATTCGAAATTGTGCGCTTGAAAGAACTCTCACACTTTACGTCTTCGCTCAAAAATACGAGCTAATATCGTTACTCGAAATAACCATTTGACTTCAGTCTGTAAAAGAAAATATGTATGTATATTTCCAATGTCCTCACTTAGTACTTTGAATAAACGATTATTTAGTGGCCGAGATTTTATGAAGTTGATGACTTTATTACCTCATGAAGTGAAATCTTATAACTGGGGGCTAAATATTTTGCAACAAGTGCTTGCCTTTGCCTCATGCAGTGGTAGATTTTGGCTGTATTTTTAATGAGCTGTATAGACGTATTATTTATGGCACTCATGGATTTTGCTGTATTAGTACAAGTACCAGTTTAGTTGCTGCATGGTATCTGTGCGTGTAATCATTGAAAAATAAATGATTGTCTGCTATCCTTGTTGGATTTCCTTGTATTTAATTTACATTATGGTTCCCGAAATGTTATGTTTTTTACTTGGGATGTGATATTATAATAACCAATAATAAGCAAAAGCCTAAAATGTAAAACATTAAACCAATTACTATATTTCCTTGTATTTTTGAAACTATTTCCCTGTATCGAAAAGTATTCCCCTGTATTTCTGGATGTATGGGTTTCCCCATTTGTAGCGATCAATAAAGAAAATCGGAGAATCATCGATAGCGGAATTCCGGATGATTCTTCAGCGCGTCTGCGGTAAAATACCCAAACTACCCGGACAGCAGCCAACCCAGTGTTTTTTAAGTTACTTTTTAAAATATTATGAAAAAAAGAATTAAAAATCTGAAAGTTTTCAGAGTTTAAATTACGTCCAAAGGGGCGTTTTTAAATTTTGGTGTACCTTTGTTTATTAAATCATGTTCTGCATTAAACAAAATTCAATTCAATACATTCTCAAAAATTTAAATCAGATATCTTAGAAGTCCGATACCAGTCTCGCGCCCTGGAGATAAAATGTTTCTTTTTCTTTTTCTACAGTGTTGCCAATTCTCCTTGAAATCATTTAGTTTTTTATCAAAATTCGTGAAAGTTACAAAATCTGATCTCTATAATAAACAATTTCGATTCAAGTAGGCTTCCACATGCCCATATTCTATGAAAGGTTACGTTATTCAATTTTGAGCACTAGGTACCGTTGTTTTATCACAATGCAGAAACTAACATATTTATGCATTATTCATTATTTAATTTCTTATATAAGACAAGCGAAGTATTGGTCACACGTTTGAAAGTGATACAGCATGAATTTAAACGCAAATGCAAAACGAAATTAATAGTCCTTCAGGGCAAATTACCCCTTTGGACTAAAAAGTGCATAAGTATAGTGGAATGCTTGAGTTATCTTCATGGAACGCCAAGGTTCCGTTGAACATAGTTTAAGAAACGTGCTCCAGTGTAAAACAGCGATACCAGTAAAGCACGCCAAGGTAAGGTAGGACGCAAGTTAACGACCAGTCAAAGAATTCCTGATTCAATGCTTAAGCTCCCTTTTAAAAAAGGAATGAATGGCTTTGCTGTCATGCATTCCCTAAGAAATTTACATAGTTTAACTAGACTGTGGAAATTTTTTATTGCGTACGTGATAGCAGCGCCAAATTTTCTGAAGATCTCGCAAAATTTTAGAAGTATTTTTTTTTAATACATCTTCCCATGCCTTCAACAGTCTATATGATATTTTGTTTTATTCCATTAATTAATTATAATGGTGTTCACCAAAATCATTGCAGCAAAAATATCGCGGACGGAAACGTCGCGCAGAAAGCACAAGGCGAAATCTTCGTACAAAACTTCGTAGGAGAAAATAAAGCAAAGAACCAACATCGTGGTATGAAACATCGCAGCAAACGGTTAAAAAACAATGCAGTTTTAAAACATCACGGTAGAAAATATTGCAGCAAAAAATAAAATACCTATAAATCATCGCATGACGATAACATCCCAGATACGTTTTTTTTCAGGATTTAAAATTATATATGCATATTCACATAATGATTTCAGAGCGAAGAAGGATTGATGAATATTTTTACCTTTATATTTCATATTTTTGGATTAATTCATAATATTTCCTAGAAAAGCGAGAAGAAAACTTAAGCATTGAAAAACTGAAAATAAGTAGAAAATTAATACTACGTATAGCAGTTAAGAAAATTTTAAATTTACACATATTCCCTTTTTAATTTTTGTAGACTGTAATTTTCCTGCAATACTACCAATACAGATTTATAAAACACATTAATTAAATAATGACCATTAATAGTTAATGACATAAATTTAAAATTCTATTAACTGCTATACATAGCTTTAGTTTTCTATTCCTTTTTCAGTTTTGAACGCTTAAATTTCCTTCTTGCATTTTTATTATTAATTAATCCAAAAATAGGAAATGTAGAGGTAAAAAACATTCTTCTTTCTTTCTTGCGATCACAAATCATTACGCGAATATAAATTTACAAATTTTGAAACCTGAAAAATATATTTTTGCGATTTTATCCTCATGCGATGATTTGTTTCTTTATTTTTTGGTGCTTTATTTTTTATCGCGATGTTTTCTACGGTGATGTTTGAAATTGCGATAGTTTTGAATCAGTTTATTTTTGATAGCGATGTTTTAGAACCGCGATGTTTTCTCTTTGCTTTCTTTTCCCTCGCGATGTTTTCTACATAATAATGTTTTCACCTTGCGTTTTTTCCTTCGCGGCGTTTTCGACCGCGATATTTTCGCTTGCAACAGTTTTAGCTGTAGATGCCTTCAAACGGGGAAAGTGATTTTAAAACCAATCTGCATTTACTGAATATATTTATAAATTACCTCAGAGAACAAATGTTTTTTCGCTTTTGAAAACAGATTACCATTAAAGTAATTGGCCTAAGATGAAATATGATCTTTTTCTTATTTGTTGTTTTTAGTTAGTGGAACATCAATTTCTGTCAATAAAATTGACGAAGACTTGATTGTTGTTGGCACGGAAAGTGGACGCATACACAAGTGTTCTTTTGAAGAAAAGAGCAGTTTGAAAAGTTACGATGACCACAAACATTCCATCCACAGCGTTCACTGGAATTCAATCCACCCCAGAGTGTTCTTGTCCTGCAGTGAAGACCTAAGTATTAGGATATGGGACCATACCTTAAAGAAAGTTGTTTTTTAATGTAATAACTAATATTAGTAAATGAAAATTGCTACAGAGTGCAACTTTTGTCTCCTTCGAATTCCAATGAAGGAAAAACCGTTCTCTTTTTTATCTGCATTTGCAGAATGAAGAAATAAGGATTCCTTAAATCATCCAAGCAATCTTTTTTTATTTGTTCGAGACATAAAATGAGAATGAAAAAATTACTGAAGTTATGAAACTCCAAAAGCTGTTAATAAAGTGTGTAAATTTAAAAAAAAGCAAGCCAGTTGAATAGTAGAAGATTATGTAGAAATAAGAATTCGGAGCAAAAAAATAAGGTCATCTGATTAATTAAATTTTCTTAACAAAGTAGGTGCGTAGAAGTGGGCAGAAAACAGATACAACTCTTTTATTTTGTAACTAGGTAAAGTTCCTCCGTTAACCAATGAAACATATCATTCACTTTTGAGAGAAAGCCCAGAGGGATTTTATCACTGAATTCCTTTTCTTCTTCACTGCCATCAAAAAAATAAAAAATTTCAATTCTTAGTCTTTCGTCTTTATATATTGTGAGCTTGCGAACATATTGGCCTTTTAGGAAGCTTTTTTGTCGCTTACGCTATTCTGCGTGGGGCACAAATCAAGTTGCCTTCCAACATCATGTTTGATTATCCACCAGTTACCTTGTTTGTGTTGCTTCCTTTTATGGAAAGTGCACTTTCGTGCCTTGATTATTTTGATAACATTTCACGAAATGTTCGAGAAATATTTCTTTAGATACATACTTTAGATCAAGTCTACCTTTCTTTAGATACGTTATTTAGATTTAGGACGTTTCTTTAGATAAGTCTATTTAAGTAAATGTTCTTTTCCCTGAGAGTCTGTTTGCAACTCTATGCTTTCTGTTTACAAATTCGCCTGAAAATTTGATATCAAATCTGAATGAAATAGCAAATATACAGAAATATAGTTTGTGTTTTCTGAAATCTCAAACATTATTTTCAGAATTTCACTATAAAATAGAGATTGATGCTAATATTTTTGGCTTTTCGTATGCATTGTGTAAGCAGAGTTGCTTTCGAAAACAGTGAATAGCAAAGTTGCTTTGGATAACAGTGACATAATGTTGTAGAGACATTAGGATTTTTTGAGAAGCAAGAAAGATGAAAAATTAAAAACGCCTTCGCCGGGAATCGAATCACGGGCCTCTGAAATACCGGCTCAATGTGCTGACTACTACACCACTAATACTAGGTTTTCTACTAGGAAGGCGGAAGAAATACCTTACAATGTAATGAAATAACAGTTGCTTTGGATGTGATCTTGCCGCGATTTTGAGTTTAATTTCGAATGCTATTATTGTTTTAGCAGCATTTATTAACAGCATTTGGTCTTAAAGACGCATGCTTTGAACATTTAAGTATTCATGTTTATTAAATTTATCCAACGATTTATCATTTTCTCAACTCAACTTTACATTCGCTTATCTTTTCTTCATTTTATGACCAGCGATCCACACCAATGAGCTAAATCCTGGCGAGCTGCGGTTAGACATGTTTAGTGTTTCCCAACATTTTGTGTATCCGAATGCATATGTATACAATTAAAACTTATTGTGACTCCGTGGGTGTTGTTTCTATAAAACGGGAGAGAGTAAATGACATAAGGAGAAAAATAATGCTATAATAAACGAATTAGTAACATTTCTAACAGTTAATTCTACACAAATTCACAATAAATTAATTTGCAAGAAGAAAATTTACAAATTTCTCGCGATTCACTAAAACCTGCATCTTGTGTGTCTGTTGAGTTGCGACTCATATTTTTTATCTAGTCGAATATAATACTCCCTGGCCCTCTGAAAAATGTAGAATCAATGCTAAGGGAAGTGACGGGATAGTTTTAAAGCATCTAAATAATGCAGAGTGAAATTAAGTTTCGTGATAAGTGAAAGGAAATATCTAGAAAAGTAAGGTTAGTTAATTGTGATTGTAAATAGCAGATTTTCTCAGAAATAATAGTAAAATCGAAAAATAAAGGCAACGACATTTATTTTATATTCCCTTTGAGATGTAGTTAAACTTAACAAACATTTTGAACAAGTGAACTCTAATGGTGTAGATAAGTTTCAAAATAGTAAAGTATTATCATCCTGTAGTTCGATAAAAATAGCTTAATGAATTAGTCTGATGGGGAAATAATTTATATATACGAGAAATAAAGAAAAACGTCTGTGTGTTTGTCCTATAATAAATCAGTATCTACTATAGCTATCGTCACCAAACTTTCCACAATTCATTTCTGGGTCATAAAAAACATCGACGTCTACATTTAAAAGAAAAGATTAGTTAAAATCAGAGATATAAATTAAAAACTCGAATAAACGATAATTTACATCCTCCTTTTTCCGAGTGGCAACAGTCTTGCAAGTTGGAGATGAAAATCTGCTTTATTTCGAAAGTTGTTGCCAGGGCTCGCTTTCAATTTCTAGAGTTTGTTAATAAAAAATTTCTAAGTTTTACAATGAAATAAAAATAGCATTGCCAAACATTAAATACATTATTCCCGATTTCAAAAATTCGTGGGAAGGCATTTCGAATATTTCCATCTTCGTAGACGAAATATTAATTAAAAACTCAAAAGCACTAATTTTCGCACTCATTTTCCTGAGTGGCAACAGTCTAGTAAAAATGTTTTATTTCGAAAAGTGTTGCTACTGCTCGCTTTCAAATCGTAGAGTTTGTTAATCAAAATTTGTAAGTTTAAAAAAATTTATACATATAAAGAAGACTGCCTGTTTCTGTGTTTGTTTATTCGCATTATTGATTTCTGATCAATTAGGATAAATTTTTTGCCATGTTTAATAGACTAAAATTGAATATAGGTGAAATATTCAATGGAACTTGAGCTTTTACGAACATTTGATTAGAGAAAGGAAAAAACTGCGTACCATTGTTGCTGATATAATGAGAGAGAATTGGCTTATTTTTGTATCGAACTTTTTTATGCGGGGGGTTTCATATGGCATCAAACTGAAAAATGTATGAGTATAAATCGTATTTTTTGCATTGTTAATAGAGAAAGATTATAGAAGTATCATTCTGTTAGACGCATTACTCTCAATCTAACTGAACTGGCATCGGGTGCTTCCGTTAGTATATAATAATTTACACCTAGCTTTACAACGAAATCAGGATTAGTTTCACAACGAAATAATCAATGACAACTACATTTATCCATTCATTATTATCCGAGATTCCGTACTGACAGAGGGAAATTTCCTATCTTAATTCCATAAATATGTAGAAGTTATTATTTAGAGGTTTCGAAATATCTCGAAAAATCGAATATGAGCTTTTAATCAGCTGTGAAATACTACGAATACAAAATTTCTTGCATTAAAACCTAATAAATCAAACAACAAAATCATAATGCTATCGAAACGGTTACAGCCGAAATCATCGCGGCAAAAACATCGCGGACGTAAACGTCGCGGAGAAAACAACGCAAGGCGAAAACGTCGTGCTACAAAACATCGTGGGAGACAACATCGCAAAGAGAAAACATCGCAGTTCTAAAACATCGTGGTACAAAACATCGTCGTCGAAAATAAAGCGGTTCAAAAACCTCGCAGTTTAAAAACATCGCCGTCGAAAATATCGTGGTAAAAAATAAAGTATCTACAAATCATCGCATGAGGATAACTCGCAGACATGCTTTTTCAGGCTTTAATAACTGTAAACGGATATTCCCATAATGATTTGTGAGCGCAAGTGATGTAAGGAAGGATAATTTTTACTTTACATTTTTTATTAACTAATAAATTTTTGCTGAAAATATAAGAAGAAAACTTAAGCATAGAAAATTAATGCAACTTAATAGATTATACTTTTTATGAAAAATTCCCTGTAAAACTTTATAAAAAATGAGTTATTAATGGTCTTTGTTGTAGTTAATATGGCGGTTTACAATTCTATTAAGTGCTATAAGTTGCATTAATTTTCTATGCTTAAGTTTTCTTATTTTCTCAGGAAAAATTAATATTTAATAAAAAATATGAAAGTAAAAATTATCCTTCTTTACATCTGCGCTCACAAATCATTATGGGAATATCCATTTACAGTTATTAAATCTGAAAAAAGCATGTCTGCGATGTTCGTCATGCGATGATTTGTAGATACTTTATTTTTTACCACGATATTTTCGACGACGATGTTTTTAAACTGCGAAGTTTTTGAACCGCTTATTTTCGACGACGATGTTTTGTACCACGATGTTTAGACTGCGATGTTTTCTCTTTCCGATGTTTTCTCCCACGATGTTTTTTAGCACGACGTTTTCGCCTTGCGTTGTTTTCTCCGCGACGTTTTCGTCCGCGATGTTTTTGCCGCGATGTTATCGGCGGACACCATCGAAACACATGTATAATTCTTGTATCTCAATTGAATTGGCTTTTCCGCAAGTATTAGCTAGTGCTTGAAAGACAAATTTTCTTTATTCCTTTTTCTTTTTCAATATTTAAAAATTCTTTTTTAATTTTATTTTAACTTCTGGTTTTTTAAATTTTTTTCTATTTTTAAATTTTAATTTTTTATTTTCTTTATATTCCAATTGTGACTTAGCTGACTGATTAGAATTAATGTAGACTTCAAATTGTAATTAATAGTTTTTACTTAACTGGCATTTTTTATATTAGTATTCCCATTTCATACACTTAATTATATTTAATTAAACATTTGCAGCCTAGGCGCAGGGTTCTTAAATAGTTCTACTGTCCTTTTATTTATGCTATTTACATATGTTACAATAATAAGTTCCTATAGAAACCAAACATATATTAAATGCATTAAACAGCATTAGGTTTATTTAAAATTCATTTATTTCAGGGAATCTGTTTTTGAATTCTTTTTCGAAAATGAAGTGAAAGACGTCTGCTGGGCTCCCTTTTCTTCTACTTTGTTTGCAGCAGTTTCAGGAAATGCAACTGTATGTAAAATATTTAATACATTTTTAACGGTTTTGAATATAAAATTCACAATATACATATGTCAAATATACATATGCCAAATATACATAATGCCAAATATACATATGGCTGTTATTGTTACTGTTATAGCGCAGTATTTTATCACGTAACAAGAAGGCAAAATTCGCAGGTGGTCGAGGAGATAAGCAATAAAAACACGCAAAAAATCTAGTGGAGATTTACATTAGCGTCTTCTTGAAATTTTTCGCAATCGAGGATTTATATTAATATTTTGGGAGGGGAATATCTACTGGAAATGAAACTGCAACATAAGTAATGAACGTGCAATTAAAAAATATTAGAATATATAATTTTTATATAATTGTTAATAATTAATGTAATTTACTTTTATAAACTATTCAAATTATGGAATGGTACTCAATATCGTAAATTCGGAACCAGATTACCATTGAATTGATAAACATATTCTTGTATTTCTTGGATTCTTCAGTTTAATTGGAGGATATTTTTATTCATTCTGTTACACATTCTTTTATGTTCTATATATTTATATTCTATACAAGTAAACTATTTATATTCACACACACACACACATATATATATATTTAAAAGATGCCATCAAAAAATTGAAGACTTTAGTCAGCACTGACAGAAGGCGGCTTTACTCTTTTAGAAGATGATGTTTTCCCCTGTTCCAGAAATTTAGTGAATCTTAGTGCAATTGGAAGTTCTGATTTGGATTTTAGAATTAGATTATTTTGCAGAACGTAGTTGCAGAATTCTAGAGGGAAATAGCATACAGATTATTTGAACGCAAAAGTAATATTACTTAGTAATAAATAACGACAGTATTTTTAAAAAATACTAAAATTAGCAGATTTATTTAACATTTGCGAAAAATCCAAAATTCGCAAAATTTTAGAATATCTTTTGAAATGTTCGCCTCGATAAAGTTACTATGCTAAACACATAAATTATGATTAGTTTAATTATAAATTATGATTAATTTAATAAAATTATAATTAGTTCAATAAAACTATCATTAGTTTAATTAATTAAAATGTACTATTATGCTATCCAATGAGTGGGAGAAAAGCTAAAATGAAATATTTTAAAATTATTATGTTGTACAACCATCTGATACCCACCCCCACAAAAAAATACACTAAAACACATCTTGAAATTTGGTTTCTACACTCTGCATCAGATAGCATTAATTTTAAAGTAATTAATGTAATCTGATGTATCACTCAATTTTTATCTGTCGCGAAAAAAATTTGAACTATAAAGGAGAAGCTTATCTAATGATGTAGTTAAAAAGGCCCTGGTTTTGAAGTTTTTATGTTAAAAACTTTAATCCTTATGCTTAAGAACTTAATAGCTTTAGCTTAACAATTCAGTAAGAACATTAAGATTTTAAATTAAAGTTTATTTTTGATTTGGCATCTTAATTTATTGGAATGTGCATTGAATGTGATTTTATTGTCAGATTTGGAAAACCACAGTATTAACTTTTAGTATATATTAATGATAACAAAAGTACTAAGCGTTTAAATTAAATCATAACCATAAAAGCTTAATTTATTATTTATAGAAACAGAAAAAAAAAAAAGAATAAGAGAACAAAAAACAAATCTTGAAATGCGAATAATATTTTAGTGATATTATTCCTAGTGAAGTTTTTCAATGCTCCATAAATCAAGCGTCGGATAGGAAACAAAATCATTGCACGTTATTGATTAACATGGAAAATAATTGCACAACTGAGTTTTAAATAATATAATTGAAAGTTAAATAACGATAAGTGTGAACCAAACTAAGCATTGACAATCACATTATTCACTGCGCTTTAATTTAATAATTAATCACTGCGCGGAAGCGTAAGGGTCAAGTTTAATGGATTAATCTTCTAAAAATGTAACATAATATAAAATAAATTGAAAATATATTATAATATTGATGGATATGAAAGGAGTCATTGTGTCAAAACGCATCTGAAAACGGCTACGAAATAAAGCTGCCACTGAATTTTAAGTTTTATTTATAGATCTCTTTTTCTCATTTAATAGATTCACATATTCGACTTACTATTGAATAAGTTGGAAGCCATAGGAACTTATATGGTATATACAGCTAAAGAGAATATAAATCTTACTACACTAAAATTTCATCCGGAGCAGCCAGTTATCTTAGCCGGAGACGAAAGGTGAGATATTATTTCTAGAAAATCCACTTATTTGAATGAAATCTAGCATAAAATTTGCACTTAAATAAATAACCTATGAAAAGTAATATTAGTAGAAAGATATTACTGGGTCTGAAACCGGATATTTCTTGATTAACATTCGTATATTAGATAGTCTCACTCAAAATGATTTGTTCGAAAATAAAAATAAGTTTAAAAATAATTTTTATTATAATTTCTAATAAGTCTTCTTTTCCTATCAAATCTACTTTATCAGTTTCACTTTCTTATCTCTAGTTTAGAAACTATTATTTTCGGCGAAAAATATATAACGTAATAATTCTATTCACCCTGACATTTGAACTCATTAATTCGATCATAATAACGCTTTTGAATTGACTCCTTTTAAAATTTCATCTAATTTTGCATGGTTTTTTTCACTGGTTAAACTTTCCTTCCACAATCCCAATATTCTTAAATTAATGATTTTAGTTTACGTCTGTTAATTATTATGCATTTCAATTCTAAATTAGTCTATATTTTATAGTTCCGTTTTAATTTACATGTTCTACAATTTTTCTTTCAGTTATCGTTTTATCATTATTAATTCTATCTTATTTCACTTAGGTGCTATTATTAACTTGATACGTATTTTCAACCTTGTAATTTAATTATAATTTTTATTTTCCTCATATTTTCCGACCGAAAGTGACTATCTATATAATTTTATTTGATTTAGGCAAAAGTTTCTTTTTCGTAATTTTAACAACGTAGTTTAACATCAATTGCATTTCAATATATTGTTGCGTGCGTGCGGGTTCCTTACGAAATGAATGCACAAGACCGATGAAAAATCAACAAAATTTATTACTATCACAACAAAAATGCTTAAATCCCCTCAGATATTCGTGCAATATTATAATATCTCACAGTAGTTATCTTTTGACTACTCAAACGTTCAAGAGAACTTAATTCTAAAACAGCTAAAGAAAGCTAATCCGCGAATTCGCTACAGTCAACAAGAGCAGTTTTCTAAACAATTCTCTTAAAACAACAATACTAACTAAAAATAACGATCTGAGGGTTTCCTCCATTTATAAAGATTTTAAATCACGCGCGAGAATTTTTCTAGTAACTTCTCTCGAAATCAAAAAGACTATTTATTTTTTACATGCACGGCTCCTGTATTTTCAATTTCCGGCTTAGCTTTCTTTTATATCACGGGACGCGCTTCACTGGCGGGAAAAAAACCTTTAATTTAAATTCACTACATTACTTTTTAAATACCAATCCGTAACCTGCGCCCCTTCCAAGGATGCAAGTCCCGGGCATACAATCCTGACAGGAAGCCAACTTACAACTAAGCATAATCAATAACTGAAACAATCAAAACTATCAAATCAATCAATACTAAATACGCAAAGAAAAAAAAAAAAAAAACAAAGGACCATGGTCTTACACTATTTAATTATATTTACGTACTATGCCATAGTAATGAGCTACTGTCGTATGAACGACTTTAGGTTTAAAGTTTGAAGACTACGGATAAAGACGTCATTCAGCTTTTCAGGACTGTATATGGACCTCCGAGGTGACTGTAATTTAGGAACTGAGTTCTTTTAGTTGAATCGGTCACATCAAACACTTGTCTCCTTCTTATGGAATCTATGGCCAGTAGCTCTCATTTTTTTATCTGGACTTTTTCTTCTCTTTCTCCGTCGCCAGTTGACTCGCTTTCGTGCGAACGTGCTCACTTCAAACGGGCCTGAACATCTTGGATGATTTCTCAGGCATGAAGGCGCATCCGTACGGCGATCAAACAGGCGGTCAAGGCAGACGAAGGTCACTACGACGAGCATTTGTGATGGAATAGCTGGTAGACTTGCGTTTCTTTTTCGACTCTAATATGATTTCGGCAGCTTCCGAACTGGTCTTTCGGACAAGCCTCGGCTTTCCAGGTGTGAATTCCCTTCTGAGGATGGATAGTATTTCAGATGCTGAAAAGTTTGTTTTTGAAGTCTAAGGAAAAATGTATTTTCCTTAAAAAATCTAGTCCGAGTATGCATGGATCTGTAATATCCGCACTATCCGTGTGTGATGGTAGGCGGCACTTCCACGTGATGTTCACGTTTAACTTCCAGCTATCTCGATCTTGTCACCAATGCAGTCTGAGGTAACACAGGAGAGGCGTCCAAATAGTTAATCTTTAAACTTTTCATGCTAATCTTTTCTAATGATGGTAACATTAGCTCCAGTCAATATCATATTGCAAGGAACTCCATCGTATGCCCGTTATGGACAGTCCGTTACTGTTGCCACTCACTGTAGAAATCTTGAGCGCTTTAAACAGGTTTTCATTATCTGGCACCTCCTCCTTAATATGTCATTAATTTGTTTCCTGCGTCGTTGCTGAGAAGTGTCTCAATTTTCGTACGCCGGGTGCTCTGCATGCCCTCGTAGTGACCTTCATAACCACATCTCCAACACCTACACAGCCACTTTTTTTCTCACTGCTACTCTTTTCTCCCTATCAAGGTCGACTTTTCTGGATAATCATCTAACGGCCAATCAATTGACCACTGGCTCGTGGACTCGCACAGCTCTGACTGGGTAGCGATCTCTACGAGTTGCTTGCTGGGCGCCCTCGACTTTTAAGACTTACGGCGTACAACAAGCACTTTTTATGTCCTTCACTCGCCATTCGCAGAGCTCTCTGTATTTCAGTATCCCGGATGCCATCGTGAAATTGCAGCGACAGGATTTCCCCTTTGGTTTCTGTCGGCACTCCGAAAGGCGTGATTGACAGCCTTTCACATCCGCGCCAGCTCCTGAGTGTTCGGGGGCTCTGCTGACGTATTTTAGTTGAGCCGCTTAGTTTTTTTACACTTTCTCCGAACGCAGCTCCAATGCGCCGATAAGCTTTAAGTCTAATCCTGGTTTTCGGAAGAGTCTGCAGGATATCCGCTGCGTCTGCTCTCAGGAACTGCGAGTGACAGGCCTTAGTTGGAATCCATCTTCTCATCCGCCCTAGAAAACTGTGTTTATACACTTCCCAGAGTCTTCCATCATAGTAGATAACTTCAGAGAGGGACGAGCGGCTGGGTAAAATTTAAAACCAATCACTATTGTTCTCTGCGTCGCTACGAATTCTTTAGAATATCCACTCTTTGCTAGGCTAAACCCTATCACAATTTGTTTTCGATTTGGTGTTGGACGCACAAACGTTCCTTCAATTCATTCCTCCACAGCAGAACTCTCCTTTCTATTTATTTGACGGGAGACTCTTTCTTCAATTTCTCTAACCTTCTTTCGACCGAGTCTATTCTACCTTCTATAGCCTCGAATTTGTTTTCTATTACGCAGTAATTTCTCTTTTCATTTCCTCTGCACGCTTTCATCTCGTCTTTAACAGATTTCATTTGTCTTTAACGAATTCCGTCCCCTTCATTCTCCTGTCCCGCTTCATCGTTTCCTGATTAGATTCTCTCTTCGCTTCTTTTCATTATTCTTAAACGCGGCAAAGGCTGATACTCCTTAATTGTTTTCTCCATCGCTCTTGTTTTGGCTTCAATCCCACCGCTGCCACCAAAATTGTTGCGTACGTACGGGTTCGTTAGAATTAATCACAAGCCTATGAAAAATCAAAAAAATTTATTATTATTCTATTACTCCTCAATATTCGTGCATATTATAATTCTCACGTAGTTCTTTGCTACTCAACGTTCAAGAAACTTAATTATAAAACAGCTAGAAATCAATCGCGAATTCGCTACGTCAACAGAGCAGTTTTCTAAACCCAACTCTTAAAACACAACAACTAACTAAAAAATAACGAACTGAAGGTTTTCCTCCTTTTTAAGATTTTAAAATCGCGCGCGAGAATTTTCTATATTTTCTCAAATCAAAAAGAGATTTATTGATGTTACATGCCGCGCTCTGATTTTCGATTTTCCGCTTGTTTCTTTATATTCATCACGCGCTGCACTGCGCGAGAAATTAAACCATTTAATTTATAATTCAACTAACATTAGCTATTTAAATACCAAATCCGTAACAATATTTTTTTAATGTCTTCCATGTTTAGTTTTGAGCCTCGGTTACCTTTAATAACGAACTTAATTTGTTCAGAACTTTTAGAATGAAGTTCCAGCCACTCATACAACTATTATTTCGTACTGCTTCTGCCATAATACTTCTTAATTCGGAACCTTTCGCTAATTTTTTATATTTATACCATTATTTTTACACTTTTTTAAGTGGACTGATTATGCTGTTTCTCTTATTGCCTTTTTTATGCTACTTACGGCTATTTATATCTTCATGAACAAATTTCAAGAAAAAATAGAGATTATTTAAGTCACACATACAAAGAAATTACAGTCATTAGTCTTAACTTTTTTTATTCGAACTTAGTTCAATTATCAACTTAATTTATTAGCCAACGTCACTGAACATTCTATTTTATAACTTCTCATTTTACAATTTTTATGAATTAAAAAAGCGAATATTTTATTAGTACTTTCAGAATAGCATTGACATGCTGAGCACTTTTGTTCAAACACATTTTAATGCAGATTTGCAATAAAAAAGTCCCATAATGTGTTACTCATTCGTAAACATCGTTCAGGATTTCTGGCTTTTAGTGCTTATTTCACAAGTATTCATTAGGAAATATACTTGAAGTATTTACTCAATTTAGAGGCGATATACTGTTATAAGGAAAACTTTTGAATTAGATTATCATATTATATAAAAATATTCTGTGCTAAATATGCTTAAACACATAGGTTCAGAATATTATTTTAACCTTAGTGTATGACACAACTTTCATTTTTGAATGACGATTTACAATAATTGATTTACCAATGCATTTTCTTATGAATGAAATCTTGTAAAAGACTACTATACCTTAACACAACATAACCATTACCAATACAGAGATATTTACGGAACGAACTAGAGAAAGACTTCGAGAAAATTTTCACCTTTGGAATTCTGCGAAAATTCCAAAGACTACCTAA